TATATGAATTATGCTATATTAATTAATTTTAATTTTGATCTACCTACTTCTTTGCATCTTTTTAAAGTTAAGCTGAAAAATCTTTTTTACTTCCGTATTATCAAAATTTGACAATAATATTTATATTATGGAAATATTTATTAAACTTTATTATCTATACTACAAAATAATATATGTATGCATATTTTATTTTTATTTTGTTGTACTTATAGCTACTTTATAACCTAATATTTTGTTTACACTAGTATAAGGTTCTGACGATAATATCTTACTGATCTTCTTTCAGATACCTAGTTTTTAAAATGTTAGTAGTATTTGCTTACTTTATAATTTGTATTAATTTTTTAATTACTCTAATTATATTGTAAAAACAAACTAACAAATGTAAACTAAAATGTTAAAAAAAAAAAAAAAAACTTACTTTTATGTAAAAAATGTCGAAGTTAATAAGTATTGAAATGATTGATGTTAAATAGACTTATCAAGACCCGTATTTTTAGGGCCAGGACCGCTAGTGTAAATAAATTTTCTTAGAACCCTGCAAGTTTTATAATTTCAAAATATTGTGTTGCAACTTTTTTATCACTATTACGGGTTATTTTAGTTTTTATCAATGCCAAATTAAAACTTTGTCAAGATTTATTTTAAATACTGCTAAAAATTTCGAAAAAAATATATAGCTTTACAAATTGTGTTGTAACTAAAAAAAAACATTTACTTCCCCAAATTTTTTTTAGCTTGAAATCTTTATATTCGGTAAAATGTAAACTGCGAACCGGTAAGTATATTTTGAAACCCTATACAGGCTCAAGATAACTAGAAATATGAACAATTTGATTCGCAATCTAAGCAATCTGAGAAATAAGAACAATCTGATTTCGAAGGAGAGCCAAGTGCTCTTCGGTTGATAAGTGTAATTAAAATCAAAACAAGCAGGTTTTTGAAATAAATTTGTAAGTAATAATAAACTAAGTTGATCAATACAAGTCTTGCGTTACTACCAACACAGGAAATTCATTTAATTTATCTTCAGAGCATTTAAGAGGTATAAAAATCTATTTGAGCATTTTCACTCGTAAAAAGCTCAAAATTTCAATAATGTTTCTTGGTGATAGAGTTTTTATCTGGTGTTAATTTAAAGAAATGGAAAAAAAAAATAAATGTGTTAAAGTAAATTCGAAAAGATCTATAAATGTGTTTTTCATAAAATATAATGTTGTTGGCTTTAAAGCATACTCAAATACAAAGTTTATATACATTTTTTACGAGACTACTGGTAACATACTTTACAAATTATCAAGAAAAAATATTAAGTCAAATAAGTTAACCAAATATAAATGGATTATGGTACCAAAAAAATGCAAATGATTGTGGCATATAGATACTTATTTTAATAATTAAAAAGAATAAAAGATTTAAAAAAAAACAAATTAAGTGGTAAAAATTAAACGTTTAAATAGAAAAAGAGTAATGAAATAAATGCTCAAATAGATTTTTATACCTCTTAAATGCTCTGAAGATAAATTAAATGAATTTCCTGTGTTGGTAGTAATGCAAGACTTGTATTGATCAACTTAGTTTATTATTACTTACACATTTATTTCAAAAACCTGCTTGTTTTGATTTTAAAAAGACATTAAAATTATCAGAAAAAAGAATAAAGTCATGTAATAAGTGTTTTTATTATTATAAATGTGTGTTGTATGTATAAAATCTTGAAATAATTAACGTAAAATCGCATGTGTGCAATTTTGCAAGATTTCTAAATGTGTGTCTCGTCAAATGTAATGTCTCTGCTCTATAAAGCATGCTCAATACAAAGATTATATGCAGTTTTATTGGTAAAGTACTTAAAGTATGCAAAGTGTAAATTTCAGGCTAGAGCAAAGGTTGTTCTAAGCTCGTTGCTGCATCTTTCTACCAACTTGTTAATTATAAAGAGTTAAACATTTAAGTTTTTGAAATAATAAAATTTTTACAGATACTTTACCTAAATAGCTCACACTTTCCATTTAAATCTACAAACTCTGAAGAAGTTTTAATTACTAAACTCTAATAAAACATAATCCTTAAACTATTACACAGTTTGTGAAAGTTTAAAAAGTGTTTCGCCGGATATTTTAACTTATATAAAATAAGATGACAATTGCATATTATTATTTATTATATCTAATTATCATCCTATTTATGTACAAGTTTAAACACCCAGCCAAAAATTTTTTAAAATTTCAGAAAGTGTTTAATATTTTAAAGATAATGTTTTATTAGAGTTTAGTAATGAAAACTACTTTTGCTTAAATTCTCCAATAGTCTATCCAATAGTCTATCCAATAATCTATTGGAAAAAATATATATTTTTTTTTACTGAACAGTTCTTTTGCACAGTTACATTTAAGCTTTGATATTACAAGCTAGCAAAGAGTATTCAAGTCAAAAAATTTGACCAAATGAAGATGAATTATGGCAATCAATGTGGGGCCGTGACGCAGTGGTTAAAGTGCTTGCTTAACAAGCAGGAGATCCAGTTCGAAACGTATAACATATTTTGCGTCACGGTAAGGAAGGAGGCGTGAACTTCCTGGTTTAATGCAATTCCGCGGTGCTCTGTGACATGGCCGTTAGGACTTCTTGGGGCACCTAAAAAAAAAGAAGAGAAAAATTGTCTTTACATTTGAAGAAGCAAGTTTTCATTTTTCTAGAGCAGAAATTTTTTTTTCCTCATGAGTATATAATTTAAAATAAATTTATAGCATAATAAATACAAAATTTATCAAAGTTTGTTGCTTTATTTAATATTATTTACCAAATTGAAATAAACAACATGAACTTGTATGTTTGCAATTATTCTTGCTCCACTTTTTTACACTTAGTTTTTCACAAAGATATGGTAAGTTCAAAATTATTCCTTTTGCTAATCAATATACTTTATCAAAACACACTTGTGGACAGGTTTTAGGGTGGAATGCAAGAAGCAAACTTGAGTCAAATTCGACTTGAACTTTATTTTGTAACCAATAGTGGCAGAATATTTTTTGAGGGGAAAACCCATACTCTGTCGCTATTGGTTATAATGTCGAGCTTGACTCAAGTTCGCTTTTCGCATTTCACCCTTAGACTTTTTCTTATAATTTTAATGCAATGATTCGATTTTGTCTTTAATTATTCTTAAATACGCTTTTTGACATTTGTTTTGATTTTAACATACGCACGAAGCCTCACTTTCATAATCAGCCAATTAGATTGCGCAGTATTGTCGGAATAGGTTTTTCTATCTACCGTACAGGGTTTTAAAATATGCAACCGGTTAAATGTAGAATGCAGAAAAACAAAACAAAGCAAAAAAATTAATAATAATAATTAACTTATAACTATATAAAACACTTTATATATTCAATTAATATTAAATATTTGTATGTAGATATTCATGTTTATTAATATATATATATATATATATATATATATATATATATATATATATATATATATATATATATATATATATATATATATATATATATACATATATATATATATATATATAATATATATATATATATATATATATATATATATATATATATATGTTATATGTGTAGACATATATATTTATACTTATATGTGTATATATATTTATATCTTTATATATTTATAAATATATATTATATATATATATGTATATATACATATATATATATATATATATATATATATATATATATATATATATATATATATATATATATAATAAATATATTTATATATTTATTATATAAATATATATATATATATATATATATATATATATATATGTATATGTATATATATATATATATATATATAAATATATATATATATATATATATATATATATATATATATATATATATATATATATATATTAATATATATATTCATATATATATATATATATATATATATATATATATATATATATATAATATATATATATATATATATATATATATATATATATATATATATATATGTATATATATATATATATATATGTATATATATATATATATATATATATATATATATATATATATATATATATATATATATATATATATATATACACACTACCATCCATAATTATTGGAATAGTCATACTTTTCGATATAAGATAGTTTTACTTACTATTGGGAGTTTATTTTAAGAGACATCATTAAAGAGTTTAAAATATAATTAAAATAAAACTTCTATTATGGATGTAACTCTTATTTGAAATTAATTTTCATACAATATTTCAAGGGATTATAAATACCCTTGTTGTTAAGTATATACATATATATATGAAAAATCGTTAAAAACAAAATAAAAACAAAAACAAATCAATACAATAGTTTCTTTTCATTTAATTATAGAAACATAGGTTTCCAAAAAAAGTTATGATGTAACGTTTGTCATCCTGAGTTAGACCGCTGTCCGAAAGTAAGCATTCATAACGTTGTATTTCAAGGGCTTCCCTAACTTTTAAAATTATTAATTTCTACTTTTAAAGTATTTTAAAAGTAGAAGTTAATAATTTAGCCCCCCCTCCCCCCATTTCCTAAACAGTTTTACAAAAAATTTTATGATAGCAACAACAGAATTATTATTTTCCAGTCTGCAATGACTCAATCACAATTACACATTACCATAGAAAAGTATATCCATAAAACTGTTTAAGATACTATCGCATACTAACTATTTTTTAAATGAATGTGTGCTGGCAAAAGATGAATAATCACGTTAAAAAGATGATTAATAACGTGTGTGATGATTAATTGAATAAGTAGACCATTTTCATCTATTTTGCTGGATCACAAAATTGAGGAACTTTTCCCTTTTTAATATATGTTTTGGCCCCCCTTCCCTCAACTTTCGCGACCTTCCTACGCCACTGTATATATGTGCGTGTGTGTGTGTATATGTTTGTGTGTGTGTAAATATATATATATCATATATATATTGATTTTTATATATATATATTGATATATGCTTATATATTTTATATATGAAGCATATATTTTAAATATGATTAATTAAATGTCTACACAATCCAACAATGTTGAATCATGGGATTCTCTCGAAATTGCTAGAATCTTTCTAGCAACATTTCAAATGTCTGAAGAGTTAGAGAGTAGTCTACAAGGAAAAATTAAAAATCCACCAGCTTCAAAACAGTTCTTGGCTAATCTTTCTACTGTTTGTCGCAAGTCTGAAAGTTGTCCTATTTGCTTAAAGGTATTTGAAGAAAAAAGTTTAGTTAAAGAACTTCCTAAATGTAAGCATAGTTTTCATGCAACATGCATTTTACCATGGCTGTACAAAACAAATACGTGTCCTATGTGTCGATATGAATATCCTACAGATGATTTTGAGTATGAAGAAAAGAGGCGTCTAAAAGAAAAAGAATCACAACGAGAAGAAATGCTTGAAGAGTTACATAATTCTATGTTTTCATAATGCAAATTTAAATTAAAAAATAAATGCTTTCAATTAAAAAAATATGTATACTTTATTTACCAGATTTTCTATGCTATTGAAACCCCCTGAGCTTGAATAACTTGATTAGGACTTTTGTTTAGGGTTTTAAAGTATTTGAGTTCTAATATTTATCTTAGTTAGACCTGCGATCAAAAAAAATAGCATTCCAGTAGATGTTGGTAAAGGCGTTGCAGTAGATGTTGGCTTTATTGTAAAAAGTATATTAAACAATCTTTAAATTTTTTAAGTTTTTTTAAATTAGGGGTAGTCCATAAATTACGTCACGAAATTTTTGACCAATTTTGACCTCCCCCCCCCCCTTCGTCACAAAATTGTAATACTTAAGAATCAAGTTTTGTATGAGTCGTCACAAAACCTCCAACCCTCCCCCCCCCCTCCCTATAGTGTGACGTACTTTATGGACGAGCCCTTATATGTTTTTTTATTTATTAAAAACTACTTAAAAACTGTTTGTTAAAGACGCGTCTTTTAAAAAATAATTGAAGCCAAACTTTTTGCGCATATACGTCACTCTGTGGCAAAATGGGAAATAATGTAGGATTCTAGTATAAAAAGTTTATGAAATTTTTTCTTATAAAAAAGCAAAGGGAATATATTTTTGGGGCAATTTTCTGTTAAAGCTAAGTTATTTCTATAAAACTATTTTGTAAAGCTTTAACTTTTTTACTTAAATTAATTAAAAAGACTCGATTTGAATAGTCGGTAAAAGTAACAAAACATTATATATATATATATATATATATATATATATATATATATATATATATATATATATATATATATATATATATATATATATATATATATATATATATATATATATATATTGACCACAGAATAAAATACTTTTAGTTGATTTACTTCAAAGTTTTTTTTCGATATTTATTTAAATTCTCTCCTTATTGTTATAACCTAAGGTTACAATAATAAAATTAATCATTTTGACTAAATTTGCCAAATAATTAGATCCAACATCATTATTAAATATATGTTCTCTGTTATCAATAAAAATAGAGACAAACAATATAAAAATATCTATAATAAATTTTGTCATTGAACTTTTTCGAAATAATTTCTCCTCTTCTTTATAAATTCTGATTTTGCTTACTGCAATTTAACATATGTGAATAACATCTTTAAAGGGTTGAACCAACCATGGTTTAATACCACTGTAATTTTTTTTTTCAATCAAGGTTGAAGTTGGATTAAATTAAAGTTAATCAAATGTCACAATTTAAAACAAATCTTCAATAAGCTAATGATCAATTGTATTTTTATTTTTTGAAAAACTCATTGCTAAAAATATTGATGGTGCCCTGTTGATGCTACATGGCCTGAGAAGAATTTAAAAAACTTGCATGCTTCAACAATTTTATTGTAGGCAGCTTAAAACTGTTTTGCTGAGGGATTATTATTATACCCTTTGTGGTTTCGTATAGCAATAAAAAACTTTAAAGTGGTTTTGAGATTTAAATATATAAAAGAAATAAATTAAATATATAAATAATAATTCTATTTTCCTATACAAAAAAGTCAAGCATACAATTATCTCAACAAAGTCTGTTTTACTCAGACTTAAATGTATTTTATTGATTCTCCATTTTTTTTTTAGCAATTTTAAGTGTTATTAAATACTTTACTGACTCTTTTTTTTAAAAATTAGTTTCGTTATTGTAATTTTGTAAACTAGATTTGAAATTCTTAGCTAACAAATTTCTGTTATGTCAAGATCTCAAAAAGATTTCAATATTGTTATTAATAACAAAAATAAATCTGGTCTAAAATCTGTTGAGTACTGACTTTCTTGTGTTAGCATCCTTTCAACTGAATGTCTGCTGACTTTCTTTTTTTTTGAACCAACTTATGTCTCTTTGTAGTTTTTGTTGCTAAATCTTCCTTTTCTTGAATAACTGCTAATTTTTTAATATACTCCTATTTTATCGGTTATTTATGACAATCATTATTTTGATTAAACTTAATGTATTTATGACAATCATTATTTTGATTAAACTTAATGTATTTCTTATCAGTTTTAACTTACGCGAAGGATCCATTAAAAATAAATTGTTTTGTTTTTGTAAATGGATGTGGAAAGTATGTACAAGTAGACTCAACTGATAAATCAGCTTTAAGAAGTATTTTTCAAACGATAACATTGTAGTTAAGAGACTGTCTGTTTTTCACAGTAGTTTTAAAGAAATAGCATCATTTATTGTTTTGATTTTATTTTCACTTTTATTTGTGATTTTTCTATTTGCTTGAGGTTTTCTAGGTATAATTTTCTTCACTAAACTACTTGGAAAATCAAAAATCTTTTTTGAGTTTCTTTTTCTCCAATCGCTAATAACATATAAATCTGATGAAAATACCAAGAACATAGTTTTAAACTCTTTACTGGATTAAAATTGCCTATATATATATATATATATATATATATATATATATATATATATATATATATATATATATATATATATATATATATATATATATATATATATATATATATATATATATATATATATATATATATATATATATATATATTCCTTTTTGTTAAGAAAACACCATGCAAAATAAAAATTTTTTATAGCTTTGCCGTTTAAAGTATTAGCTAACATGTTTATTTTCTAAAACTAATCATTTTGTAAAAAAAACTGCTTGGTGTTGCTCGATTTTAATCAAAAATGCCAATTTTTACCGAAAAATAAAATAGCACCACATACTTTTTTTTTTGTAAAATACTCTGATAATGGTAAAAATAATTGTGAAAATAGGAAGCGTTGGTTTTTTTTTGTTGCTGTTTTATTCGTTTTATGTTAGTGCGTATTAGTAGGAGACATTTACATACAAAAATGGGACGCGGAAAGCATTGTAGTGCAGAAAAACGAGAACTGATCCGAAAGCTGATATCAGCTGGGAAATCTTATAGAGAAGTTGGTCGTTTAGTTGAGTGTTCCAATAAAATGATAAGAAATGCCATAAAATTTTGAGAAAAGCCTGAAACACGTGATTGAAAACGTTCTATTTCAACATTGCAAATCGCTTAGTCCGACAGGCTAAAAAGGAACCTTTTAAAATAGCTACCGAGCTGAAAAAGGACTTTAACATCGATGCAACAGTACAAACAGTTCGGAGTTGTCTGCGAGTTAATGGATTAAAAGCCTGTAGCCCCAGAAAAGTTTCAATTCTAAGTGCCAGACATGTTGTAAAGCGTATTGCGTTTGCTAAAAAACACTCAAATTGGCCACTCGAAAAAGGAGGAATATTTTATGGACAGACAAAAGTAAGATTGTGCTTTATGGTGGAAAAGGTTTTCAGACGTATGTCAGAAGACCGCCGAATGCAGAATACAATCCAAAATGTACCACCAAAACTACTAAACATGGAGGTTGTAGTAAAATGATATGGGCATACTTTTCTTATTACGGAGTAGAGCCCATTCATCACATTACTACTATTATGGACCAACACGTTTATGTTGATATATTGAATAAAGTGATGTTACCGTATGCAGACTATGAAATGCCGTTGTCCTGGGTGTTCCAACAGGACAATGACCCAAAGCACACTAGCAAGAAGGCGAAGAATTGGTTTGAGAACCATAAAGTAAACGTTATGAAGTGGCCAGCACAGTCGCCAAATCTTAACTTAATCAAGAATTTGTGGACTGACGTAAAGGAGGTGGTTGCTGCTGCCAAACCCACCACGAAGGAGTCTGTTTGGAACGTAGTTAAGGAGACATGGAGCGATATTCCGCTAAAGCGATGTCAGGATTTGGTTAACTCGATGCCAAGACGTTGTTTAGCCGTTATTGCAAATGACGGCTACACAACGTCTTGGCATCGAGTTAATTAAAATGTCACAATACAAAATACTAATATGTTAAGAAATAACTAATATTTATTGTAAAATGTTTAAAACAATTGATCTCATAACATTTCCTTATTTCAAAGTACACATTAAAGCTGATTTGCTATTATTTTTTTCGCGTTTTATTAAACTTTTTTTGAATTTTTGTTTAATAAATGAATACTATATCTTAAAACTTGTATATTTTGTTTTTTATAAAAATTATAAGTCATTTTACTTTTAAATATGTATTTAAAAGATTTTCAAACTATCAAAAATAGTTTCAACCAATTTTTGGTGGTGGTGCTATTTTATTTTTTGCAGCTATATATATATATATATATATATATATATATATATATATATATATATATATATATATATATATATATATATATATATATATATATATATATATATATATATATATATATATATATATATATATGTTTAAAATATTCAAGGCACCAATTATACGTAAAAGAGGTTCACAAGGAATCGCTCTACCAGCTCCAAGTATGATTCTAACATGTTTTTGTTTGCTACAACGTTTTTTTAGCTTAGTGTGCTTAGTACATATGATGTTGCCGTAAATTAAGTAACTATGTATAAAAGAAAAAAAAAATTTTTTTAAAGACTTAAAATTTAAAAATGGGCTAACTCTATAGATCATTCCAATGTTTTTTGAGATTTTTTCGATAGAATTTATATGTATTTTCCATGATAAATTTTTATCAAAGTTCACACCTAAAAAATTTACAGATGTTTGTCTTTTAATGTTAGTTTTATTTATTAAGAGATTAGGCAGAATAAGCGGTATTTTCTTATGTTTTGTTTAGTTTGTGGAAAAGAGAAAATTTAGATTTTTGAACTTGCAAAGACAATTTGTTGCATATAAACCATTCATTTACTTTATTTAGTTCTTTATTTACTACTGTAAAAAGTGTTTCAATATTTTTGTGAGAAAAAAAAAGTTTCGTGTCATCTGTGAATAAAATAAAATTTAATAGATTTGATGTTGAAGACAAATCATTTATGTATAGTAAGAAAAGTAAAGGTCCGAGTATAGAACCCTGTGGATCTCCGCAAGTTATAGTTTTTTTGGTCGTTTTTAAATTTTCAAATTTTCTGTTCGAAAAGTAATTTTCAAACCAAAGTAAGTTTGTCTCCTTTATTCCGTAATAATCCAGTTTTTTATTAAAATTTTAAATAACAACAAAGGGGCTGTCCATTAATTACGTCAACAATTTTTATGAAATTTTTAATTCCCCCTCCCCCTTGTCAACGATTTGTCAAACTTCCAGAGACCCCCCTTCCCTATAAAATTACGTCAATTTTTGATTACCCCCCGCCCTATACAAAGAAACTAAGCTACAAAATCAGCCAAATTAAGCAATGAAACTCAAAAAATAAAAAAAAATTATTGACATCAACTTTAATTGACCTCCCCCCTCCCCCTTGTCAACAATTGTCAGAAAAGTTCAGACCCTCCCCTCCCCCTATTTTGTTGACGTAATTAATGGACAACCTCAAAAAAAAACTTTTCATATTTTTTACTCTTTGCTCATCGTTTCCTGCCGTTTGCGTGAAAAAAACTACATTGTTTTATCAAAAAATATCAGGATCAATTACAGTAAGTAATTGCTTTATATTAGGGATGTACCGGAGTTTATAACTTTTAGGTCATTCCAGTTCCGGCCGAAACTACAATATTTCAGGCCGGAATGCCGAAATTTATTTTCTACCTTTTTTTTAAAGACATGTGACACAGACTGTGTAAGTTAAATCATAAAATTATTGTTCTACAGGTCTGTAGAACTGTAGGTAAACTTAGATTAAAAAAAAAAAAAGTTCTTAACAAACACAATGTAATTTTATTTGGTGGTGCAAAAGGAGTTGCTATCCAATTTTGGGCAACAAAATAGCTCTTTTTTGATCAAAAATGTTACCTGCTTCTAAGAATAACCTCAGTTTTAATGTTTTTGATAAATAAAGAAATATTTCAATTTTAACCTAAATGAAAAAATAGAAAACAAATAAATAATTTTAAATATAAATATTATGCAGGTTAAAACTTTCAATAAAGCCACGATGTTTTTTTTTTTTTTTTTTTTTTTTTACAATGTTAGTCGTGTTACATAATTTATGAGTCGTAATATATAAACATAAGTCGTAATACATTTGAGTCGTACTAACAATATGAACTAGGTTTCCGAAAGAAGATCATAAGGATCTTATCATCGGAACCTTAAAAAGTAAAAATATTTATTTATAACATATATATATATATATATATATATATATATATATATATATATATATATATATATATATATATATATATATATATATATATATATATATATATATATATATATATATATATATATATATATATATATATATATATATATATATATATATATATATATATATATATATATATATATATATATATATATATATAGAAAATTTAACGTATTTACATTATGCAAAATACAACACATTTTAATATATAATAAGTTGAAGATTTAACAAATACATTTCACATACATTTTTAATAGAATTTTAGAATGTTGTCCATGGAGAGAATGAATTTTTTTAACTTCATTTTAAAAACGGGAAGAGTAATAGAAGGATCAAAATTTGGTAATACTATTTTATTCCAAAGATGGGGTGCACGATATGCAATACAAAATTGATTGAACTTAGTTCTACAAAAAGGTTAAGGTGCAGGCTTTAACTTTAATCAATTTTGAAGGTAAAAAATTACATAAATATAGTTCTCGTTCAGGGCAGAATTCTGGGCGGAATTTTATTAGCAATACCTAAATTCAAAATTTCCAATCCGGTAAACCCCTACTTTTTCTAATTAATTACTAAGTAAAACAACTACTTTCGTTCTAATTATTATTTGTACGTTTAATTTATCATTTTATTTTTGATAATGTTTTAAGATCGTTCATTGTGAATAATGATTTTTTTTTTATATTTTTTTAAAAATTACTGATGATGAAAAACATTGATGAAAAAAAAGGAATTCTAATCAAAGTCTTAATTTAAAATATTTTTTAAATACCTAAATGCAATACACAATCTTATTTCAAAAAAAGATTGTTATAAGTCTAATACAAAAATGTCAATTTAAACATTTTGGTACTCCCTTACGTTAATAAAAATAAATTCGTTAAATATAATAAGAATTTATCTTAATTGAATAAGCAACGCTTTTACGAAAAATTCATGCTTATATATTTTAAACAAATTCACTTATGAAACGAAACAAAATAAGAAAATTATATTTAGTTTTTTGAGACATTTTGAAATTTGAAATTTTTCCGTTGAAATTCACGGAAGTGAACGGATGTGTTTTTCCTGCGTAAAAAAAATAAAACTTTTTTATTTTTTTAAGTTAACTTGTTATTTCTTTTATCATCGTAATTATTTTGAATATCAAAATGAATAAAATTAAAGATTCCGAAATCTCAATACAGCTAGTAAAGGAAATTTTTCAGGAGATGTTTCAGAAACAACAAAAGGACATTTTGAAATTGATAAGTGGAAACTTAAAAATTACTAAAGAACGAATCGACGGATTACAAAAAGGCATTACTTTGATTAAAGCCACTTGCGAATCCTTAAAAAAAAAAACGAAAAGAGAAAAGTCGAGCAAGCAAAGTCAAACAATCAGTTACTGAATTACGAAAAAGTTTTAAAGGACATTGAAGAAAGTCTATCGTTCCATCAAGATAATCACAATAAAAAGGTTAGTGACTTGTTAGTGACAATGGTTAGTGAGAAAAAAATTTGTTCAAAATCTAGTTTAAAAATTTGTTCAAAATTTAGTTTAAAAAATTCGACAACTGAAAGATTGGCAAAGAAGAAATAACTTAAGATTTGAAGGAATTGCTGAAAACGAGTCGAAAAGTTGGGATGATTCGGAAATTAAAATAATGAATGTACTTGAAAATAATTTAAATGTAAATGGAGTAAAAATAGAAAGAGCACATCGGACAGGAAAGCGTAATACAGAAAAGCCAAGAACTATCGTGATCAAGTTACTTGATTATAAAGAGAAAGTAAAAATTCTGAAAAATGCAAACAAACTTAAAGGTTTGGGAATATTTATAAACGAAGATTATTCGGTAGAAACAGCAATAATACGAAAAAAAATTTTCGAAGAAAGAAAAATACACAGGAACAACGGTAAGTATTGTACTGTTATTTACGATAAATTAATTGTAAAGGATTTTAAGAAATCAATTTGAATAATCATTTTTTTTTTTTATTAAAACTACTCTTATTTAAAATGGCTGACGAAACTGACAGATCCGATTTTGAGTTTAAAACATTTGAAGTTAATAGTTCAACACTTTTACATCAAAGTTCGGATCCTGATTTTAATTTTTATAATAATAATGAAGTAATTAAACATATTAACCCATTATATTATAACTCAAACTCAAAAAATATAACGGAAGGAATGGATGATAACTCATTTTCAATTCTCCATATTAATATTAGGAGTATTCAAAAAAACTTTGAATTATTAAAACAGTTTTTATATAAAATCAAAATTAGTTTTAACATTATTTGCCTTAGCGAAACATGGTGTCATGATAAAAATATTGAAAACGATTCAAATTTCCAAATACCTAATTACAATGTGGTTCACCAAGTTAGAGGTTGGGGCAAGGAAGGTGGGGGTTTATGTATATTTATTAATAATTCATTATCATACAAATTAATGCAAAATCTAAGCTCAATCACTAATGACTATGAATCGTTATGCGAAGAAATCATTAGCGAAACCTCAAGAAATATAATTGTGCATGCCTTATATAGACCGCCTACAGGAAAAATTAATGCGTTCAAAAATCACATTAAAAGAATAATTAAAAATAAATCAAGTTGTAATAAAAGTGTGTATTTTATTGGTGACATTAACATCAACATTTTTGACTATGACGTTAATAAGCACATTAATAATTTCTTTAACAATCTGGTTACATTCCATTAATAAATAAACCCACGCGTGTAACTAAGTATAGTGCAACATCAATAGATCAAATTTTTACAAATGAATTTCTCACAACAAAAATAAAAACTGGAATATTTAAAACGGATATTTCGGACCATTTTCCAATTTTTATTATATCAAATAAATACGATAAGTCTTATTCTCAAAAAAGGAAAGTAACAAAACGACTAATTAACGATACCTCCATTAAATCTTTTCATGATGTTATATCATTCGAAAAATGGGACGAAACTCTAATAGATTTAAATGCTGATGAGGCCTATGATATCTTCTTAAATAAGTTTCTTCAATATTATAACAAAGCATTTCCCATAGTTACAAAATTATTAAAAGAAAAAACCCTTATGAGCCCTTGGATAACAAAGGGAATTATTAAATGTTCAAAAATAAAACAGAGATTATATTGTGAATATCTTAAAAAAAAACACTACAAAATGAAACTAACTATTGAAACTAAATATTAAAACATATGAAAATGGCGGGAAAATTAAATTTGAGTTTTTTACATGTAGAACTTGTTCTAATATAGTTTTTAAATCATAAGTATTAAATACAGTTTTAAAAAACGTGCTTTTGAATGTACTATTTAAAAGTTTGTTAAAATATTTGTCAATTTTGAAGAATGATTTATTATTCGATAAGTACAACATGTTTGAAAAAGCTTAACTCAACAACTGTAGTATTTCCTTTAATATAAAATTAACTTAGTAATATTATACTATTACAGAAAATTGTTATTAATTTAATTGTTAAAACATTAACAACAAAATTTTAAACAGTGTAAGTTAAAAAAAATATGGACATTTATTTGTGTGTACGTGTGCGTATGTGTGTGTGTGTGTGTGTGTGTGTGTGTGTGTGTGCGTGTATAATGAAAATGAAAGTAGAATAAAATAGAGAATTAAAAAAGTAATAATAATAAGAAGAAACAATTTTTTTTTCTGTAGATAGTAAATTGATTGTTAAATCAGTTCTCGCTTTAGTTTCTTTTTTCCTTTTTCATTTTCATTGGCTGAATTTTTTAGTTATATTAACTGGATGGTTGCATGATAGGACTGGATGAGACTAGGGCTAGATGATAGACTAGGGCTAGAAGACTAGGGCTGGATCATAAGACCATGTCTTCTGCCAGTTCCGATCGAAACTTTAATGTTGTATTTTTATGTTGTAAAAACATTGTAAAAGATTATTTTTTAATGATGAAAATATATAAAAAATATAAAAAATATAAAGTAATTTAAAATGTTTCTGATATGTTAAAGATTTTATTATATTGATGGGTCTTAAAAACAATAACAATGAAAAGATTAGATCTCATCCCAAATATACGTGATTTTGGAGTAGATAAATTAGGATTATGAAAGGATTTAAATAATTAAATGAAAAAGTACATAAGAAATTCGCAAAAAAAAATTTAAATAAAGAAAAGGTTGCTTTAGTTATATTTATTTCAAAGGTAAAGAAAAAAATAAAACAATGAGGCCAAAACTATGCTACATTTATACAAAAAGAATATCGTTGGCTTTAAAGAAATATTATGATCAATTAAAATAGCCATTTTGGTTCTGGAAGGCCCCATAAACAATGGAGTGTTATTGGAGAGCGAAGCAAAAGAAAAAGGATAAAAGAACTACTGAACATTATAAAGCTCTATCTTTAGCTTTTGCAAATACAAATGCTGCTGGAGAGAAAAAATGCTTTAAAGCTTTAAATAATTTAAATAATGTCTAATGCTTTAAAGGTTAAAAAGGTTGATGAAACTTTGAATAAAATCTTTCCCATTAATATGAGTGTAGAAGAAGCTCTTGCATTAAAAATGAACACTGATCTTAGCGATAAACAACATCAAATGATCAGAAACTCAGCTCTTATACACAATGTACATATTTATCCTACCTTGCACAATATTTTAGTGAAAAAATTGAAATGCAATCCTGAAAATATAAATTTTTCTGAAATTTCTGCTAAGTGTACTTGTCAAAGCATTTAGATCACACTGTTAGTAGAATAACTTCAGTCGGCACAACTCAGAAAAAAGTTATTTTGTCTTTATTATTATTCGTGTCTTTACAGGTTTTAATTCCGAAAAAGATACTAGATTGCCGGTTATGATTGAAATTATTGATATGCTGGAATGTGGTCAAGATAACAAAATACTTGAAGTTTTATATGGAAAAATTAGTTTTGATGGAGATCAAGCTATAGGTCTATTAAAATATTTAAAAGCTTATTAAAATCTTCCATAGGCCTAATAAAATCTTCAAAAATAAAACAAAAAATGTATGATAAATTCTTTAAAAAAACCCGTATAAAAATGAGCTTTAAATATTTATAAAATAAATTTACATGAAATTTTAGTTTTTACGTATAGAACTAAACTAGGAATGTCGCCAAAAATACTTGAATTCTATTTTAGTGAATTCTGCCATAAATATAGCACAAGACTCTCAGTAAACAACTTTGCTGTCCCAAGATATAGTCTAAAATTGAGTTCATACTCAATTAAGTATCGTGGACCGTATTTATGGAATTTATTTTCAGATATTACAAATAAAAAGAAAACTACTCTTGATCGATTTAAAAAAGAATTTAAACGGTTGTTCTTATTTAAGGACCTCACCATGCTAGATTTTAAATGTTTTTTTTTTAAATAAAAGTTAAGTTATCTTGATTTTTTTAAATAAAAGTTAAGTTATCTTATTAAGTTATCTTGATTTTTTTAAATAAAAGTTAAGTTATCTTATTAAGTTATCTTGATTTTTTTAAATAAAAGTTAAGTTATCTTATTAAGTTATCTTGATTTTTTATTAAAGTAAAGCTTTAATAAAAAATCAAGATAACTTAAAATAGATGGTTTTCTTAATTGTTACAGTCTCTTAGGCAGTTCATTTCCATCGTAAAAGTATCGAGATTTAATCTGTTCTGGTTATATCACTGGTAGTGTCCTCTATTATGCTGTAGAACTAATACTCATGTATTCTGGGAATAAATTGATTCATTCTGTATTTTTGCACTCCCGTATTGCAAGATTCTTTTTGGACCAAGTCCTTGTGGAGACTTGCAATATGGAAATGTTGCAACATTGAGAAAGTTATTTCCGAAGCTGAAATCGTAAGTCACTTTCTCGCAATGAATGGAATGCCAAGCTCATAGATATTAGTAGAGAAAAGTATTAAAAATTCTACTGAATTAAATAAAAGTTATCGACTAGAAAAAAGTAAATAAATAAATAAAGTCTACGGAATTGAAGTATAATAAAGAAACAACTAAAAAATCTACGAATCTACTAACTAAAAAGATCCTATCAACATCAGGTATGGCTGTAACACTTAAAGAAATAAAAAAAATGATGAAAGAAATGCTTAATGATTTTAAAAAGGAAACTTTAGTTTTATTAAAAAAACAATAAAAAACAGTAATTGATATTATTAGTGCAAATACAAAAATATTAAACGAACGATTGGATAAATTTGAGAAAAATATCACTCAAAATGCAAATAAGATTAAAAAAATTGAAATAGAGCTTGAAAATATAAAAGAAAGTTTAAACTTCAACAAACACGTAATTGATAAAAAGATTGAAAGTAACAACAAACATTTTTTAAACAAAATCGACATCAACAAACAATTAGACAAAGAAAGAACTAATAACGAATTTTTAAACGAAAAAATCCGTAACCTCGAAGATAGATCGCGGAGAAATAACTTGAGAATTGAGGGAATATGTGAAGACGAAGTAGAATCTTGGGACAAAACCGAAGAAAAAGTTCATTCATTTTTTCTACAAAAACTGGGTATAAAGAGTATTGAAATTGAACGAGCACATCGCACTAGGCCAAAAAAAGATGGACGTTCGAGGGTGAAAGTTTTAAAACTTCAACAATACAAAGACAAAGCTAAAATTTTGAAAGAATCAGCTCGTCTCAGAGGAACAAACATTTATGTAAACGAGGATTTTTCTCGCGAAACAGTTGCAATCAGAAGAAAACTATTTACGGAAGTAAAAGAACGACGTTTAAACGGTGAGAATGTTTCGGTTCGTTACGATAAAATTATTTCTTTTAAAACTAATATTTTAAAAAACGTTCCAAACAAATAATCGAATTACGCATTCTAAAAAAAAAACTTGAACCTAATTTTAATAATCATGGCTTTTATGAACGATTTTGAATCCATTTCTTTTAATTTTTTTGAAGGAAACCACTTTTCCTCTGATAAAAACATAGACCCAGATAATAATTTTTATTACGATACTTTTACGGATTGTGCTTATTTTTATCCTAAAGAGCTTGAAGGTTTTTTTTTTCAGAATGCAATTAAAAAAAGTTCCAATCAAATTAGAATTCTCCACCTCAATATAAGCTTAAATCGGAATTTTGAAAAACTTTTAAATTTATTAGAAGAAACAAAAAATCTATTTAATATCATTTGTTTAACAGAAACATGGGTTACATTAAACGATTTTGACAATAATTTTAATATTCCTCATTTTAAAATTATCTCACAAGAAAGAAAAACGAGTAAACGAGGTGGAGGGCTTCTAATTTATGTTCATGAAAGTATCTTTTATAATATGAGAAACGATTTAAGCGTCTCCGATGGCGATAAAGAAGTTTTAACCTTCGACCATATAAACTGAGTTGACCATATAAAATCAGTTTATATGGTCGAAGGTTTTAACAATTGAACTTTTACTCGAAAAAACAAAAACCTTACTAAGCTGTTGTTATCGACCACCTGACGGCGTGAGTGAAAACTTAAGTATGTTTTTACAACATATCGTGAATACCAGCGACGCAGAAAAAAAAAGAGCTTTGTAATTGGGGACTTTAATATGAATTGTTTTCTTTATAACGATGAGTATAAAGTTAAAAAATTTTATGACACAATTTTTGAAACAGGGTCTATTAATTAATCGCCCTACTAGGGTAACAATAAACTCGGCTACCCTAATAGATAATATCATTACAACTGATATTTTTAATAAAGATATTCAAAAAGGTATTTTAAAAACTGATTTATCCGATCATTTTCCTATATTCCTTATTATAAACTCAAATTTAGAAAAAAATATTAACACCCCTACAGTTGAAGAAAACGTGTCTTTAAACAAAAAAACTTTGAGCTATTTAAAGATCAACTATCTTTGCTCCATTGGAATCATATTGATTTTAATGACAATGCAAATAACATCTACGAAGCATTTTATAAAACATTGTTTTCCGTTTACGACGCTAATTTTCCAATTGTTGAAAAAATAATAAAAATTAACAAAAGCTCAAAAAGTCCCTGGATTACGAAGGGATTAAAAAAATCGTCAAAAATTAAACAGAAGTTGTATATTAAATATTTAAAAACAAAAACATCTGCTAGCGAAAAAATATACAAAAACTACAAATATCTATTTGAAAAAATACGTAAAAACTTAAAAAGAAATTACTACTCAGAACTAATTAATAAATTTAAAAACGATTTGAAACGCACATGGCAAATTATGAAAGAAATTACTGGAAAACAAAAATCGTGCTTAGGTTTTCTGCCGCAGATGATTAAAGTTGATAACATAAGTTTATATGACCCAAGAGCCATATCTCATGAATTTAATAAATTTTTTATTGGGATAGGTCCTTCCTTATCAAATAGGATTTCAAATACGACGGCTTCTTTTAATGATTTTCTCGTACCTATGGATAATTGCATTTGCTCTGATGAGTTATCTTCAGAATTATCTTTTGAGGAATTTGAAGTAGCTTTGAATTCTGTGAAAAGAAACAAAGCAACAGGAGCAGATGAAATTAATTGAAACGTAATTATAGATTGTTTTGATATATCAAAACATATTCTTTTTAAAGTTTTTAGAGCTTCTATAAATCAAGGAATTTTTCCAGAACAATTAAAAGTTGCTAAAGTTACTCCTATCTTTAAAGAAGGTGACAGATCAAATATTAGCAACTATCGACCCATTTCTGTTCTTTCGGTATTTTCAAAAATTTTAGAAAGAATAATGTCTAATAGAATATACAAACATCTCAACATAAATAACTTACTGTACAACAAACAATTTGGTTTTTAAAAAAATAACTCAACAGAGCATGCAATAATCCAGTTTGTGCATGAAATCTCAAAATCTTTTGAAAAATCACAGTATTTGTTAGGTATCTTCATTGACCTATCAAAAGCTTTCGACACGGTAGATCATCACATTCTGCTTCAAAAACTTGAATATTATGGAATTAATGGTATTGCCTTAAAATGGTTTAGAAGCTATTTAACAAAAAGAAAACAATTTGTAATTAGTAACGACGGCTATCAAAATAATTGTCTTGATATCGTCTGCGGTGTTCCTCAGGGTTCAATCCTCGGGCCCCTACTTTTCTTGATATATATAAATGATCTGAATAAAGCTTCTAACCTTATAAGCCTTATGTACGCAGATGATACCAATCTATTCCTCTCAAACAGTAATATATACGAACTCTTTACTACTATGAATAAAGAATTAAAACATATATCAAACTGGTTTAAATGCAATAAGCTAACTTTAAATATTAATAAAACCAAATGGACTCTATTCCATTCGCATGCAAAAAAGCGATTTTTACCAATAAATTTGCCGCAACTTTTTATTGACGAAATTGAAATAAAAAATGATTCCGTTACAAAATTCTTAGGTGTTTATCTCGATGAAATCATCTCCTGGAATCAACATATTAATTATATATCTACCAAAATTTCAAAAAACATTGGGATTCTATATAAAGCTCGTAACTACCTAAATAAAAATTGCTTAAAACAACTTTATTACTCTTTTATCCACAGTTACATAATTTATGCCAACACTGCTTGGGGGAGTACTGTAAAAAGTAAGTTAAAACTTCTTTATCGTCGTCAAAAGCATGCGATCCGCATAATTAACTATGCCGATCGTTTTACACACACCAAACCTCTTTTTACTGAAATGAGATTGTTAAATTTATTTGAACTCAATGTATTTAAAGTTTTATGTTTTGTATATCTATGGAGAAATAATCAATCCCCTACCGTTTTTAATAATACTTTCAAACTCAAACCTAACAACAAATACGACATGAGAAACATAAACTTTTTAAAAGAACCATTTTGTCACACAATATTTAATCAATTTTGCATTGCTTATCAAGGACCCCACCTATGGAATAATATAGTTTTGCAGAATTTTGATTTACCAACTTCCTTTTACCTTTTCAAGCTCAATCTAAAAAAATGTATTATTTCACTTGATAATATACTCAGATACTTCTAATATTTTGAAAATTGTTATACAACTTGAATTCAGTACTTTATTTTAATTTTTACTTTATTTTTTAGTATCTTATACTGGTATTTACTTTGCTTGTTTGTGCTTTATAAGGTTCTGATGACAAGATCTTGTGATCTTCTTTCAGATCCTAGCTTATGTTTCATTGTAAGCAGTTTATGTATGTGCGCATCTACGCATTTGTATGTGTATATATGCTTATATTTATATATGTATGTCCGTGTTTTTTCTTATTTTAATTTAGTTGATAAATGTTGTAACACGAATTTAATTGTAACACGATATATATTGCATATATAATTGTACTTTGACATTTTAATGTAAGCAAAATAAAAAAATAAAAAAAAAAAAAAAAAAAGTATCATTATGATGTTAATAATTCGATATATTATTAACATCATAATGATATTTCCAGGTATCTTATTTTTGCCTTTTTTGTTCTCAATATCTAGACGATGTTTTACTTTCAATCATACAAATTTTTTTTTTAATTTTCTTTAATTTTAGTTGCTCCAAGATGTCCTTCCGGTTATATCACTTCCGGTTATATCACAGAGCATTGCAAAGAGTATTTGAAAGGAGGCTCACACCTTCTTTCTTACCGATGTTAGAAAACTTGTCAAGAGGTGGCGTTGAACCACAGATCTCTAGCTTCTAAGGCAAGCACGTTAACAACTGAGCTACGGTTGCTTAACAAATAAACTACTAGAATGTTATGCACGTGTTTTCTTAAAAAATTTAATTTTTCAATTATATTTTTCCTAGCCTCCAATCATCGTAATTTTTTGCAAAGCATCATTATTTGACATAAGTATAATCATACAAATGTTTGGAGTTTTCTCCATGTTTAGAAGTTAGCTATCTCAAACGCTAAAAAAAAGCTGTATCCTCACTGAAGTGAATATTTTTGTATTTAAAAAAAAAAGAAAAAAAAAATTATTTACGTAAAGAGAAGAGTTTAGTTTACCCAGGAAAAAATTTCTATAGAATTTTCTATAAACTTTTGAAACATATGGCCTATAGAAATTCTATTGAATTTCTTTAGAATGCGTAGTTAATAGAATTTCACTACACATTCTATAAAATTTCAATACACAATGAAATTCTTTTAAATTTCATTAGAATTTCACAACACAATTTCAATAGAACTTCACTACACAATGAAATTCAATTGAATTTTATTGTGTAGTGCTCTAAACAGAGAGCACTGCACAATGAAATTCTCCAAATAAATTATGATCTTATGATGAAGGGAAAAATCAAAGACTCCAATCAACCTGAGGAGACCAAGCGACTCTTGATGTACTAATATATGATGTCATCACCTAGATTCTTATACATATATAAAAAAATTTGTTAATAAAGTTCAACTTTATTGAACGTTATTTGTTTATATTCACAATATCAAAGAAATTAAGTTTATAAAACAAATAAAAAAATCCCAAAAATATCTTGACAACTCATGACCGCACTTACCTGTGCAATTATAACCACTCCTGGGGATCAAATATGGCCAGATTTAATTTTCCTAATATCAATTACCTATATTAAGACATACAACATGTACCATTTAATTGAAAAACCATCGGGATATTCCAGGATTTCTCTTTAACCACCTCTGAAATGATCACCTGAGCGGTCATGATCACTCCCCAGGAAAAAAAGTTTTATAAAGTTTCTATAAATTTTTGAAGCATATTGCTTATAGAAATTCTATATAATCTTTATAGAATGTCTATAGAAGTCTCTGTTAATTTCTAAAGAAATCTCTGTTAATTTCTATAGAAATTCTTACAGAACTTTTTTCTACTTTTATAGCATTTTCTATAGAAATTAATAGACATTCTATAAAAATTTTATAGAAATTCTATAGAACTTCTATAGGTTATATGTTTCAAAACTTTATAGAAATTTCTTTCCTGGGTCTTGAAGACCAAATATGCCGAGTTTCAAATTCCCTGAACGCAATTAGTGATATTTAGACATACAACAATGCCCATCTAATTGAAAAATATCGGGAAATCTCAGGTCCACCCTTGACCACTTCCAAAGACCAAATATGTTCAGATTTGAATTCTCTGACAGCAATTACCTATATTTGTTATACAACATGTCTCATCTAATTTAAAAACCATCGAGATTCACCATGATCACACTTGACAACCCTTAAAATAACCACTTGTGAGGTCTTGACCACTCCAAAATTAAAACGGCGCCCAAAAATGAAATCCTTGGCCCCAAAAACCTCTATAAACACGTATCATATACATATATTTAACCCATAAATAGTTTTTTTTTTTTTTTTATAAACATCTTCGTTTCCAACAAGGCTGCAAGCAACCACTAATTAGTGTTGGAAGTTACTGGAAGAGAAAAGATGAAGATTGTAGAGCAAGATAACGATTGACAGACGACTTAAAAGATTGCAAATTATATGAATCAGGAAAGTAAGATGAAGGAAGCGAATTCCAAAGAACTCATGTTTGAGGAAAAAAACTAGACGAATAACAGTTTTTGGAGCACTTAGGAACAGTAACAGAAAAAGGATGAGACTTAATTGAATGACGAGTAACACGAGAATGAATTTTAGTAGATGGCACAAGAGACGCTAGTTCTTTAGAGCAGTGCCCAGTTTTGCCATTTTTAGACAATATTGGCTTATTGTAAAATAGTTTGTATCTGAATTCTTGCTAAAAAAGCTGATTCATCTTGAGACAAAAATGATATTGAGTCTGTTGATACACTTACAGTCGGTTGTAACTGACTACCTATTGAAACAACTGATTCATGTGGAGACAAAAATGGCGGCTAATACACCCCCTATTCAAAAGTCAACACATTGGCTTTATTTGTTTGCAATTGAGTAGAGCAGCTAATATCTTTATAAACAAAGTTGTCAACTGTCTGAGAGTTGGAAACGATAATTTCTAATTTGCGTCTCCTCTTGATTTTGTGATCGTCTATTAGATGGATACATTCCCGGATTCACTTGTAGGTTGCTGCCTAAACAAGAAATACGATAGAAGAACTAACTAAAAACGTACCAGTTATTAAATAAAAACATATCTTAAATTAATGAAAAGTATTGACATTTTTTTAGGAAAGATGATTGGCCAATCTGAGAGCAAAACATGACAACTCCTTTCCCCAGTGTGCATATTTTAAAACGTTTTTATTAGGTTTAATAAATACGTCCAAAGAAGGTTTAAAAAATGTACTGCGCCCACTGGGACATTCATTCATAACTACTTTGTTTTAAAAAATAGTTGTTCTATCTAGTGCTGTTTGCAAAATGTTTAATAATCTAAATTTAAAAAAAACAACACTTAATCATAAAGTTGTAGATGCAAAAAAGAAGTTTATCTGTTTGCGTATTTTTCGTTTTTGGGTACTTTTTAGTTTAGTTCAATTTATTTCAAGTAGTAATATAATAAAGTTACTTTTTGCTTATTATTAATCAGAATTAAATTTGAAACTACTATAAATTTTTTATATAGTTTTATTTGGTTTGTATTCATTTTTATTTATTTCCTAGAAATTAAGAAGTTACCATTTTTACAGTATAATAATACTGTAAAAATGGCTAACTACAGATAAATTCAAACTTTGGAAATTTTGATAAAACGTTGTAACTTTTATTTCAAAAATTCTATTTACCAAATTATATTTTAACTAACCTATTTCTAGGAAATAAAAAAAAAGAATACAAACCAAATAAAACTATATAAAAAATTTATAGTAGTTTCAAATTTAATTCTGATTAATAATAAGCAAAAAGTTACTTTATTATATTACTACTTGAAATAAATTGAACTAAACTAAAAAGTACCCAAAAACGAAAAATGCGCAAACAGATAAAGTTCTTTTTTGCATCTACAACTTTATGATTAAGTGTTGTTTTTTTTAAATTTAAATTAATATTGACAAAGTAGCTCGAAAAAAAAAATTGCTACGGTTTTTCGGAACGAAAATAGTGCAAAGAAAATAGAAGGAAAAAAAATTGTCCATATTTTTTTCTATTTTATATACTTCCTTAATTAAATCCGCATTTTTGGTAATAAAAAGTCCACAAAAGTTGTACTTATTCATAATTTTAGATATTAAACGAACATTTATTAAGAAATAAATAGTGTTTATTTTAAAATTTAGTATTAGTAAAAACGATGTAAGAAACAAGAACAGTTATAAAAAATATTTAAATGTTTCTCTTTTTTCATTTAAAAATAAAATAATTATATATAATTTATTAAATTTTCTCAAATTTTCTCTATTTAAAAGATTTTACATGATCAACAGCTACTTCACTGGAAGAGATAATTCTTTTATTATTAAGAAAAATGTTAACAACAATTCTTCCAGCAAGTTTTATCCCAGTTTTCTCATGCATGGGACAAGAAAAAGTCTGGAAAGAGTCATAAAAGTGGTTTAACAAATATTCTAAAGCTTGTCGTGCATGTAAACTAAATTTCTTTATTTTTTTATAAAAGTAGTCAATCATAGCAAAGGATGTGCAAACATAATCCAAAAGTGATGGTGAAGGAATAGTGAGACCACCCCTAGAAATAAATGTTAAATAAGTATGATCAGGATTGCTTTCATCAATATTGACACAACATAAAAATTCTTTACAACATGTACCAAAACGTTTTTTAAGTTTCTTTGTTATATAACCAGCAATATGAGCACCTACTTCCCTACTTTCTGGTGCAAGTGTCATGATTTCTGGAGTACACTGAGCTTCATCAATATCAAGAAGAAAGTTTTTCCAATCTGTTAAATTATTTTCTGACTCAGGCACTTTTAAACTATCATCAAAGTTAATACTTTCTTTAACTATACTTTTGATTTTTAATATTTTTTCAGAAATAGTGACATCTTTTAAACCTACCAAAAATCTTCCACCGCTCATTTGTCTATATTGTCCAAATCTCCTTTCTAATAAGTCATTTTGAAATCTCGCAGTTAAAACAAAGTGATATCCATCATTAAACAAGTCCTCGATCAATGAGGCATGACTATTAAGTGTTCTTATTAGTGCTGCAGCTGTCTGAACACTTAAAGTAAACTTCTAACAGTTTGGTATCTTTTGTGATTGCCAAACTTCAATCCAATGTGCCATTTCCCGAAGAAATTCAGGTTTTTTATCACCAGAAACGACTGCATTACCTAAAATATTACATGCTGAATACTGACATTTAGAATTTGATAAAACCCACCACTTGTTAAATAATGTAAGAAAATCTGCACTACTTTTAAGATCTGGAAAATATGAGTGAATCGCTGCTGATGTAGTTTCATCAAAAATTGCAAGTGCTAAAGAAACATTTTATTTAAAATTGCCAGGATGTGACACTTTCATTGTTATTTTTGGTGCTTTACGCAAACCAGCATCAAGAGTGAGGTCTTTTTCATAAATATTGTGGAAGGTACTCCATTTAATTTCTTCCCCACATACAATTATAGGATCTTTAAATCCATTAAAGTTAAAATCTGGAAATAAAAATCTTTTGCAATTCAACAAATTATTTCTGATGTTTTTAATAAGATGTACAACATCAAAACAGAGGTAAATTTTTTTTAGATTGTAAATAAAAAACAAATCTTTAGCTTGTTGATTCGATGCACAAATGATTTTTTTAAAACAAGAAACATTAGCAGAATGGTTGTCACACACAATAACTCTAACATTAAATTCACATTTAGTTAAAATACGAAGACATTCAAAAATTTCTTCTTTCAACCATTCAGCATTGATTGTTTTTTCAGGAGACGTTTTGATCACATATGGAATGTTTTGTTTCAGGCCAACTATCATAAAACAAACTATTCCCTTATACATTTCTCCAGACTCATCACTACCAATCATCTCTCCAGCAAAATACTCCTCACATTTTTGCAAGTACATTTCATCAAAAATCAAGCAAATGTCTTGAAATATCTTACCTTCTAATTTTAAACGTTTTGCACAACTTAGAGCATCAATATTTCCACTAGTTATTTTTTTAAGTAATGATAATGATGGTAAAGACAATTCTTCACGCAAAAGTTGGTATGACTGCATAGAAGTATATCGTAATATCAGTGAATACCTTATAATATTGGCTGAATAAATAGGTTTTTTCATATATTTAATTTGCTGTAATTCAGTCAATACAGATGAAAATTATTCGGCTTGTGATTTAATGTAGGTAGGAAAATTATGAAGCATACTTTTACAAGATAAACGACAATCTCTTCCTTGACAAAACCACTGAGGTAATGGCAGAAGTGAACCTCTGTAAAATAATTTAACATGCATCTCATTGTTTACACGAATGCACTCTGTAACCTCTGGAATAGATAAAGTACTATGACTCAATTTATAAAAAATTACATGATCATCATACTTCAAGAATGAAAAACCATCTGGAGCAAAACTTTCAGTAATATCGTTAAAGCTATTAATCAAATCATTCAATAAAAACTGTTCATATTGATCTGGCTGAAATATTCTTTTAGTTGGTGATTTTCTTAATGAATTAGAAGATTTTATAAGTTGTAATGATCCTTCTTCAGTCAAATTTGTGCAGTCAAAAATAGTTGGAATAGGCTTTAAATTTTTTATTAATCTAAAACGTTGATTCTTATTACCTTTCTTATAATATTTTTTTTCAAAATGTTTGATGCATATAACGGAAGAATTAGTAGGTGTCCAATCTTTTCTATTTACAAATTTAATCCAATATTTTTTTAACTCTTCATTTTTTGGAAACGAAAATACTACTGTAGATACTTCACCATAATTATGATAATTTGAACGACAATTTACGACGCAACATTTGTTAACCATCTTTTTGAACTTCCAAAGCTGCTTTCTTAAAAACACTTTTCCAGAAAACTGGCCTTCTATTTTTTTCTTCAAAATGTAAAATATCCGGCCGTATAAATAAAGTAGGCCATGCATAAATATAGTCTGGGCCGACGACACCCGGGGAAGAGGGGGGTTGCGAGAGGGGCACGTGCCTCCAACTTTTTTTCTAAAAGACCTTTTTTTTAAGAAAAATCTTGATATAGAGGACTTTTTTCACAAATTGATGATTGTGCTCCCCCCTTCCCCCCACTTTAAAACCCGTGTCGTCGGCCCTGCAAGACGTCTACTAATTTAAAAACATTAAAGTCTTGTGAAGCGTTTCAAAGTCTATTGTTTATTTAGCTATTAAAAAAAGAATTGAATTTGCAAAAGTAAAAATTTATGCAAAACTTACTTAATTAAACTCGAGACAATAAATTTGTTTGGTTTTTTATTTAAATTTAAAAATATTGTCACTACTTTTACTTCGTAAAACGTGATGGCCAGGAATGAGTTCGTAATAGCCATGTATTGTATCTCCGGCCATGATATGGAGTTTTTTACGCCTTGTTGTTTTGTGCTAAATCTTGTTAGTTTATCGACAAAAATTACCAAACTTGCCATAAGTAGAAGTTTTTTAAGAGCTTAGAAATATTTTTTCATGAACCTAAGGTATTCGCGGTAATATAAAACGCAGTTTAAAATCAAGTGGCCAGGAATTGGTGGTTTTACCCTAACATTGTTTAAAAAAAAATCATGCAGTTCGACTCGTTTTTTCGTAAAGCTTATTATCAGGGGAAAAAAAGTTAAACATTTGCTCTTACAAGCAACTTATTCAATTTAAAAAAAAAAATTATAGCTAAAACATTAAAAGCTAAAACATTAAAAACATTAAAAGCATTACTAAGAACATTGAGATATCACATTAAAACGGTTTAAAAGCGTTTTCATCTCTACCATTAAAACGTTGTTTTTTAAAAAAAATGTTAACCGCAGTAACGGATGGAAAGTTAATTGTTGGTTATTACCGTTTGTTGTTAATTGGCTGTTGACGTACTTTAAACGAGCATTAAGTAAATAAACTTCCCATAACTACTTCTAACGGGTTTTCAAAGGTTTGGCATTTATTAATTCAATGGAGTTTCAATGTTCGTTATTTAAAAAAGCATTCTGTTATTTACTATTGTTACTGCTATTTATTACATTTTTATTTGTCTATAATATTTCTGTTGGAGAACAAAAGTTTTTTCTGTTACCATATACTTCGTATTTGTTCCAAAACAAATTATTTAATGATGGAAAAAAAGTTAATACTAGTAAGTGTGTTAGATTTACTTATAAGTACTTTTTTCATAAATAAGACTAAATAATAGTTTTATTTTACCGCCTGTTAACTCTTGATCATCAGTTTAAAATATAGTGATTACAACGTGTTTTTATTTATCATAAAAGTTTTATTAAAGAAAAGTCGTTGAAAGACTTATTTTTCTTACTACTTATTAGAATACAGTAATTTCTCGATAACTCAAACCTCCAAGGGACTTAGGCAAACGGCTCGACTAAAGGAATGTTCAATTTAAGCAAAGTAAAACAATTGTTCTTGCTTTTAAGGCACTATAGAAAACAGTTTGAGATAACAAAAGTGCGAGTTAACTGGTGTTTGACTTACCGGGAATTAACTGTATATAAAAACTGAATAATTGATAATAGTATTTATTTTTCTAGTTATACAATCTATTTATCTAGTATCATATTTATATTTAAGCAACATTTTTGATAGAAATAGAACTTTCTCAAATAATTTATTTTCCGTGGAGCAGAGGCGGAATAAGACTTCTTGGGGCCCGGGGCTATTTGTGTTTTTGGAGGCCTTTTTATAAGCCAGAGCCTAAAAATGATTAAAAAAAAAAAAAAAAAGGTCCTCTAAAATTTTTGGGGGCCCCCTCAATTTGCGGGGCCCGGGGCTAAAGTCTCCCCTAGCCCTCCTTGATCCGGCACTGCCGTGGAGTAAAACTTCCCCCAAGCGAGCAAAGTTCAGAAGAAGTTTTTTAGTATTTTATATTTATATATAAAGTATATCTATATTTTATATGAATTTAAAAATAAAAAATGTATAATAATTCAAAAATAAAAAATATAAAATAAAACCCAAGTATATATATATATATAGATTTGAGGAAAAACTAAAATTAAAAGCAAGAGTTGAGTTTAAAAAGCTTTTAAACAAGTACCGTAGTGTTCTCATCAGTTTTATTTTAAAGCCAATTTTCTTTTATCTGGTACTTTACACAATCTGCTTTAAATCTGGTTTAAATCTAATTTTAAACTTGCAAGTGTTTGGTCTTATTGTCATTATTTTTTAAATCGTTTGTTTTAAAATATCTGGTTTTGTTGAGTTTAACTAACCCAGTAAAAATAGGGCATTTTTAAAACGTTTAAAAAACTTATTAAAACGGATATTAACGTTTTTTAAACGTTTTAAAAACGATCTGTGCTTACTGTGTAGTAGTTGTATTAATAGATAAATTACATAGAACGGGGAGTGTTCCCTAAGCCTATCGGGGAGTGTTCCCTAACAGCTAGACGGGCTAGTTCGTGCGTGATTGCTAATATAGCTCGTAGAAGCTGATAGAATAACAACGATAGCAATGGCAACTTTTTTTGGCAGTGCGTTCTATATAATTGATGTGGTTTTTGAAGAAGTTGAATCAAACAAGACAATAGTTTTCCATTTCACAATAAAAGCGCTTGTAATAAAAATAATTTGGTGAGATGTTACGTGGAGCAATATGCAAGCTAAGTGAGTTAATGGTGTTCTAGATTTTGTATTTTTGGATAAGGTCACCATGCAAATGACTATAGTGTAGAAAAGTGATGCCGACTTTGATGCATCTTATATTGTGTTCGAAGCGTTTCATTTTATGATGTACTTTCGTAGCCCAATGCTAGATGCTTTTTATGTTTTTTTCAAGATTCGGGCACCAGGTGGTAATTTGCGAACTAGAGATGTGAGCGTAAACAGGTGTTGTAAAGCTTTTTCCGTATTTTGGCATCTACGATGATGAAGGCATATTTTGATACTACAAGGATTTTATTGGCCATTTCAGTGTAGTTAAGGCGATTTACAAATTATTCGAATTCTTTTATTTCGAATTGGCATGGTTTTATCAGCGTATTATGTCCAAAAAAGAACTTTAGATGGTATAATTTTTCTTGCTTAAAGTTTTTTTAATATTTAAAATTTTTTTTTTTTTTTTATAATTTTTAAAACCTTTTTACCACCCGTAATACTAAATCTAAAGAACTCCATTTTGGAATCATTAGATCAATTCCACTTATCGGCATTGACAAAAATTTAGTAAAATCTTTTGAAAAAGTTCCTTAATTTACTATTCATCCTAGTTATAATCAGAAGCGATTTTACGTGTGTGTGTGTGTGCGAGGGGAAGGTAACAGCCCCTCCCCCTCCCCCCAAAGAAGGTGATTTTCAAGTTATAGTCAGTTTTTTCACGAATTTAGTTAGCTATTTTTGTTTTGAGGACCTTCCTGGTTTCAATGACTATCACGAAAAAAATGCATTGCGTCAACCCATTCTTAATTTTTGATCTGCAGAATTTACTTCCGTTTAAAATAACTTTTATATAGTTTTAAAATTTCGATGACCGACGTTCCAGCATGGCTGAGTGGTTAGCGCGTTTAGCTTCTGAATATATACCGGTTTTCACATCCATTTAAAACAAATATGACAACCATTTAAAACAACCACGATATTCATTTAAAACACCGCGAGAATCAATTAAAACAATGTGATTTTCAATTAAAACATTTAACGCATGCGCAATCTCAACATTCTATCTTATTAAAAAAAAAAGTTTTCTTTATATATTTTTATTTTTTTTATTCGATTTTTTAAAATTATTTAAAATTTTATTTTATTTAAAAGATAATGTTTATTTTCCAATTAATGTTGATGTATGTCATCTGACCTGCTGTAATCTGATACGCTTCGAAAAAGCTTTCGCAGTGTGTGTAATAATTTGATAAGTTAACATTAGGAATAGATAAGCATGCCTCACGCATTTTTGAAATTAATTCATTTCTTCCAGCTGGGGCCGTATTTCTTCGCACGTTATTCTTAAGATAAAAATATCTCTTCACACAGATTCAAGAATGGTGAATACGGTGGCAAATATTTTATTTGAATGTTCTGAGCCCTCATCTCAGCATTATGATGGATTCTGACATTATCTATCACCAGGGTGAATTCTTCCTCTGCGCCCAAAACTCGTACAATTTCATCAATATATTCTTGAAACAAAACTATGTTGACTGACACACTGACAGCTTTGAAGTGAATAATATTTAAACCATTGACGATTAATATCATCGCTGCCTTGGGCGAATGATCGGGTTTGGTGTTACTCCTCTTCTTGCCTGCGAAAAATGTATAAATTAAATGGACTTTTATCAATAAAAACAATATTTCGATAGCGATTAATAGACGAAATTGAAGCATACCACCTAACATATTCAATACGACGATTTTTTACATCATTGTTGTTTCTTCTTTAATAAGTTAATCGAGTAATTTTATATGTGTATCCAAGATTGGTCACCCATCTCCAGACAGTTTTAATTGATACATTCACATTTAAAGCATATTTAATTTCAATTATAGTTGTCGTTGTGTTACCGTTTATAAGCTCTTCAATTCTTCTTCTAATATCTTCATTATAAATAACGTGACGAGCGCCACCTCTAGAACCAGGAAGTGTTGAATTCGTTCGATCGTACATTTTTAAAATTGATTGTATTGTGTTTCGATTAACATGTTTTTAGAAACGGAATTTCACGGCATGAAGATTCAGATTGAGTTTTTCGCAGCAACAAAGTTTCAAATTGAATCTCAAAACAAATTTTCGCGTATTTTGGCAAACAGAATTTTGCTGCATGTTTTAATGAAAATCTAATATCCTCATGCGCTAAATGTTTTAATAGGAAATCATGGTTGTTTTTATTTATCATCATGCATGTTTTAATTGAACTTCATGGTTGTTTTGCCAATGTGTGTATAAAATATGTACATCCATTTAAAACAATCATGACAACCATTTAAACAACTATGACATTCATTTAAAACACCGCGACAATCAATTAAAACAATGTGATTTTCAATTAAAACAATCGTGATTTTCAATTAAAACATTTAACGCATGCGCAATCTCAACATTCTATATTTTTTTTAAAAAAAAGGTTTTCTTTATATTTTTTTTATTCGATTTTTTACAAAAATTTAAAATTTTATTTAAAATATAATGTTTATTTTCCAATTACTGTTGAGGTATGTCATCTGACCTAAGACACGTTTCGAAAAAGCTTTCGCAGTGTGTGTAATAGTTTGATATGTTAACATTAGGAATAGATAAGCATGCCTCACACATTCTTGAAATTAGTTCATTTCTTCCAGCTGGGGCCGTATTTCTTCGCACGATATTCTTAAGATAAAAAAAAATCTCTTTACACGGATTCAAGAATGGTGAATATGGTGGCAAATATTTTATTTGAATGTTCTGAGCCCTTATCTCAACATTATGATGGATTCTGACATTATCCATCACCAGGGTGAATTCTTCCTCTGTCCCCAAAACTTGTACAACTTCATCAATATATTCTTGAAACAAAACTGTGTTGACTGACACACTGACAGCTTCGCAGTGAATAATATTTAAACCATTGACGGCCAATATCATCGAAACGTTACGTTGTCTAGGGTGAATGATCGGGTTTGGTAATTTACATGTGTAAATTAAATGAACTTTCATTAATAAAAACAATATTTCGATAGCGATTAATAGGCGAGATTGAAGTATACCACCTAACATATTCAATACGAAGATTTTTTACATCATTGTTGTTTCTTCTTTCATAAGTTGGTCGAGTAATTTCATATGTGTATCCAAGATTGGTCACCCATCTCTAGACAGTTTTATTTGATACATTCACATTTAAAGCATATTTAATTTCAATTATAGTTGTCGTTGTGTTACCGTTTATAAGCTCTTCAATTCTTCTTCTAATCTCTTCATTATAAATAACGTGACGAGCGCCACCTCTAGAACCAGGAAGTATTGAATTCGTTCAATCGTACCTTCTTAAAATTGATTGTATTGTGTTTCGATTAACTCCTGTTAACGATGAAGCTTCGGATTAAGTTTTTCCTTGATCAACGACTAGATTTACAACAAGATTTCGCATGTTTTGGGAAACGGAATTTCGCGGCATGAAGATTCAGATTGAGTTTTTCGTGGCAATAAAGTTTCAGATTGAATTTTTCTTTGATCAACGACCAATCTAAAAACAAATTTTCGCTTATTTTGGCAAACAGAATTTCGCTGCATATTTTAATGAAAATCTTATATCCTCATGCGCTAAATATTTTAATAGGAAATCATGGTTGTTTTAATTATCATCATGCATGTTTTAATTGAACATCATGGTTGTTTTGCCAATGCAGTATGTGTATAAAAAATATGTAAAAAAATATGGTTTTGCATCCATTTAAAACAAACGTGACATCCATTCAAATTTAAAATAAATTCCATTAAACTAAAATAAATTAATATAAAATTAATAAAAATAAATTTATATAATATTAGATAAATAAATATATAAAGAAGACCTTTTTTAAAAAAATAATATAGAATGTTGAGATTGCGCATGCGTTAAATGTTTTAAATGAAATTCATGATTGTTTTAATTGAAAATCACGATTGTTTAAATTGAAAACCACATTGTTTTTTATTAATTTACACATGCGTTTATGTAAACAATAACAATGTATGTATGTATGTATGTATGTATGTATGTATGTATGTATGTATGTATGTATGTATGTATGTATGTATGTATGTATGTATGTATGTATGTATGTGTGTATGTATGTATGTATGTATGTATGTATGTATGTATGTAGGTAGGTAGGTAGGTAGGTAGGTAGGTATGTATGTATGTATGTATGAATGTATGAATGTATGTGTGTATGTATGAATGTTTGAATGTATGTGTGTGTGTGCGTGTATGAATTACTGAATTTGTGTTTGTGTGTGTGCGTATTTGTGTGTGTGCATGTTTGAATTAACTCAAACAACAAGCTGCTGCACTGAGTCAATGTACAATCTGACTATTTTTTTTGAGAAAAATATCCGAAATATTTAAATCATTTTTAAGGAACAATAACAACCGATAAACAATCTAAAACTTTAAATAATCAAAAAATAAACTATTTTTAATATTTGGATGTTTAAGGTTTGAACAGCTTCATATAAATTCTTGTCATAGTTTCAACTTGAAAAAAAAACAGACTTGTAGTCAAAGTTACCCCGTTATTTGAAGCAACCCGTTATACAAAGTTACCCAATATTCAAAGTGAGGTTTACGGTACAAGAAACTTTTTTTCTGATGTGTTTTTTTTTTTTTTTTTTTTTTTTGCGATTTTCTTGAAAACAAAACAATTTCAGCGAAAAAAGGCATGTAAAAGTTTTAATAACAGATATAAAATTTATATGTATATTATACATACGTTTTTCAAATTTAACTAAACAACGTTGCTGCAAAACAAGGCTATCTTAAGTCCATTTTTTCTGTTCTGAGAAAAACGTATTTAAAGTTTTTAGTTCATCACTGTGTTTGAACTTCTTCATTAAAATAAAAGTGTTTTTAAAATACTTATAGATTATGTTAATATTTTTCACAATATAACAAACAAAAAAATCAAATTTTAATTTATAAGAAGCAACAATGCAAATCGACTTAAGATACGTAAGTAAGTATTTTAAACCAAAAAAGTTTTTTTTTTTTTGCCAAAAAATGGATTTAAGATAGTTTTGTTGTGCAGCAACGATGTCTCTTAATTATTTTTTTTAGGACATAAGATATTTGAATTTTACTCATAGTTGCAAAAGTTGAATCATTTTTGGTTCCATAATTTGTTAGATGACTTTTTTGTACCTAAGGAGTATTTTAAACCAAAAGAGTCAATTTTGCCAAAAATGGGCTTAAGATTTGTTTTGAATTTTAATTTTTTTAGAATTCATTTAGCCTGGGTGATCGAAAATTGTCCATTCATAACAAAAATACTCTTTAAAAGTATCAATACTCTAGAAAATTATCTAGGAAATTATCTAGCCCCCCTCTCACTTTTTTCTATAGGACCATTTTTTATTTTCATTTAGAAAAAGCAGGATATAGTGGACTTTTTTTAGAATTTGTCAACCATGTTTTATGAAGAAATACCTCATTGAAAAATATGATTTCAATAAAGAGCATTTGCCTTTTGCTATATGGGCTAGATGTAGACTAATTTTACTTAAGATTAAAAAAGGGGAGAAAACAAATAATGATATACCTGGCTCTTTTGATTTTTCCTAAGTTATTGTTACGACTCTGACAAGTTCAAATCCTTTTTGCTGTTGCCTTATTTGTGAAGTTGCCCGTTTCAATCCAATTGGAATAAGCCAAGCATTAGCTAAGGCTGTTCCTTTCCAGGTTGGAAGACCTCCAGTAGCAGCTAAAAATTTTTTACTATCTTGTGGGCCAGTTAAAGTGTGCCAGCGCTGTTGGCAGCCAGTTAGTCGTGGAATAGCACATCCAAACCCTGGTACAGTTTGAGATGCAAGGGAAAATCTTTAGATTAATCCTGTGTCAGCTGAGGAAATTAGTAGATTGCAATCTACTTTAGGTCTCACTTTGATACAAACTCACAAAGCAGCTACTTTTTTTCAGAACTTGGAGTGGTCGCAAATCACTTGACCCAGATTTGGTTGGAAAATTAAGATAAAGAGACAAAACACTTGATTTATTCTACAATTCTGCAATAATGGACTTTGATGATTCCAATGGTGATGAACAAAGTAGAAAAGCTCAGCGCTCATTTAATTTTTGTAATGACATTTTTTGTTTGTTTGAACACACCCTTGACCATCGAGACCTTCCACCAGATGATTATATAATCAAAGTAGGCTTGATGGAGGTGGTGGGTTTCTTAATGTTTGTATGAATATATTGAATGAACAAACAAAGCATAAGTTTTCTTATTAAAAACTTCTTAAGTCTTTTGTGACTCAGGAGTTAAGAAACTCATGACCTTGGCAATTGCTGAGTCTGTGAAAGAATATTTTGAGAACTTAAAGCAAATTCTAGAGTTGTTTTTTCTTGAAATTGTTGCTTTTACAGCAGCTGTGGACATAAAACTTGCAAATGTTTTTCTTAAATTAGGCTCAGCTGTATCCACATATCCCTGCTCTTGGTGTAAAACTTCAAAGAAAGATTTGAGAAACCAAGAAATGATAGGGCACTTAAAGACACTTGAAAGGATTACATCCAATACCAATAATTATCAGAAAGATCTCAGTGTTTTTTCAAAAAAATTAAAGCTCTGCTCTGGGCAGCAAGCTACAAAAGTTGCATGAACTTACATCTGCTTGATCTTCTAGATGAAACAAAAATTCTTGATATTTTTACCAATCATGGAATTGCATATGGTTTTAGGAATTACCAACAGACTATTTGATCATTTGATAACTATCCTTATCAAAACCAATTCTCGTTCTTTGAAAGCTACTGACTGGTCAAATAAACTAAGCATTTACAGGCCACCATTCTATGGAGGAAAATCCAATGGAAACCAATGTAGGCATCTCCTAAACAATGTTGGGGTCTATAAAAATTGCTTGCAAATACCAAAATTGGAAATGAAGGATAAATCCTTATTTGTGCATTTAAAACATTTAATGCACAAATAAAAACAGTCAAAAAAAACATGCTTTGAGAATGTCCTAATTTCCTCTTATAGAGATTCTATACTTTCTCTTGAAAGAGCATACAAAGCACTTGGAATTTCAATTACACCTAAAGTTCACCGAGCAAATACCTGAGTTTACTGACAATCAGGCTGAAAAGCATAATATTGCCCAGCAAAAACTTCCTCCAAATCTACGAAAAAATTTTTCAAGAGGTCTTGGGTTTTGGAGTGAGCAAGCATTCAAATCAATTAATTCAGATTTCAGAAGGTTATGGTAAATAGTTGCTTACATTACAGCAGGCTATGGTAAATAGTTGCTTACATACAAAATTTGGGTCATCCAGAATATAGTAAAAAACTAAAGAATTTTGTAACTGCGTATCGCTCAAAGCATTTCTTTATCGCTCAAAGCATTTCAAAGCATTTCTAAAAGGAATCCTGTAAAGAAGATAATAACAAACTTCTAAATTTTGATGAATATAGAAAAATGTAACCCTTTTTATTTAAAAATTTTATGTTTTATTCCATAGTTTAATAATATAAAGAATAGCTTTACAAATTTGATGTGAATAAATAATCTAATGTAAAAACAGAAAAAATAAATTTACAATGAACTTTTTTAGTATTTTTCTTTTTTAAAGTTATCTATGGGTAACTAATGTTTAAGATCACATTATATTGTTCTTTGTATATGGGTCTGATTTTTATGTTAATAATAAAAATTAAAAAAAAAAAATTTAAATTCTAAATAGTCCAGAACATTTTTTGCAAAATAAAGCAACAAAAAAATATAGTTTTTTAAAGGATTTGGATGAAAATATCAAAATGGTCATAACTTTCTCGGACGTCGCAAAATATTTTTCAAAATTTGTAAAAATCATGCATATACATAAGACCTAATACAAAAATTTTCTAAGGAATTTTTTTTTCACCTTAATGGTAATTCCATGCCTATGTGAAACATTTGCGGGATTTATTTACTAATATTAAATTATGATTACGGGAAACAGTGTTGTGTAAATATAGATTTCATTTTCATTATAGGTAAAGTTAACAATATCACTTTGATTCTTGTGTACACATCATTCTTTGGCAATATACCGTGGCCGTTTTTTACAAATCTTTCATGTAATTTTGAAACTTTAAACTTTCAAATTTCATATGATCATAATGATTTTTACAAAAGTGACTTTGTCATATTCCATTCGCGCAATATGCCATCAATTTCTGAGTTAACAAAACTACGTAATAATCGAAATAATAGACAACTTTGGATTTATTTTTCAATGGAAAGTATACGTAACAATCCTCCAATAGAAGATATCCACATCTTTTTTGACTTGGTCTCCACTTACGCATTAGATTCTGATATTCAGGTTCCCTACAGATATCATGAAAGACAATATAAACCAGCAAACAATAAGTTTTTTGTAGAAGACATTACAAACAGAAAAAAAATGATAGCCTGGGTTGTAAGCAATTGCCATATTCAAGAAAGAAATCTACTAGCTAGAAAACTACTTTCATACGGAGTAGAAATTGAAGTTTCCGGTGCATGCGCGCAATATTATCCGAAAATGTTTACTTTATCAAGCCAAGGAAAACCTTGCTACGCTGATTTGAAAAACTTTAAATTCTACTTTTCTGCTGAAAATGGTTTATGCGAAGATTATATTACTGAAAAGTATTGGGAAACTGCCTTAGATAACAACATTATACCAATAGTTTTAGGGGGATCAAATTATTCTAATCCTAGATTGGCCATCCCGGGCTCTTTTATTGATGCAATGAGTTTTAATTCACCAAAAGACTTAGCTAATCATATATTAGACGTCAGTACTAACCAATCAAAATATAATTCTTACTTTGAGTGGAAAAAAAACTGGAAGTTAGACACAAATTCTTACTATTGTTCACTTTGTCAAAAAATTAACGAAGGATTTGCCCTAAGACAAAATGTTCTTATTAATACTTTAAGGAGTGAAAAATGTTCAATTCCAAGTGCAAAATTTTTTTCATGGATAGAAAATTCTTGATAAATCACTCTCAAAAAGTTTGTTGAGTTAAATATCACATGTCTTCTAAATTGATAAATACAATAAATGTTAAACGTAAATTTTTATTATATAAAACGTTATAAAAGTTTTAAATTAAAAGTTTAGCACTTATTTTAGTAATGTACGTATAAAAATAAACAAAAAAAAAAAATGTAATGTTGTTAAGTGGTACTTCAGAGTAAACAATTTACAGGCTTATTCAGGTTTAGGTATCGTCCATAAATTACGCAACGCAAAAAATATTATAAGAATAGAAGTAGAAGATATTAAGCTCTTTTAAACGGCGATTTTCATTTAACTTAATTTCCTATTTTGATTATTTATTCAAACTAAGACTTTGCGAGGAAAAACTTTTGATCTTTTTTTGGTGAAATTTTGCGTTACGTAATTTATGGACGATCTCTATGCGCATTTATTCTTTATTATAAGTGTATTTATTCATTCTTGTACGCGTATTTATTCATTCTTATACGCTTTTTTATTCATTTTGCTATGCTTTTTAAAAAAGCACAGTTTTTTTTTTTAAACAAATTGATCTTGTTTCCTGGTAAACGAGGTTAAAAATACTTAAGAGGAAGACTTTCGATGATGATTTAAGGTAAAAACTATCCTCTTTATTTCTCTTTTTCTTAAATGATTTAGTATTAGGTCTTTGCTTAATTTTATTATTAAATTTGTTGATTGATTAACTCGTTGTTTATCTAATTATTTATTTATCTATATTTAAATTTAATTAATTATAATTATTATTAGAACACAAATACTTACCCTATGGATGGAAGAGAAAATAGCAGTGCCAATCGAAAAACAAGGTAAAATCTTACAAAAGAGGTGCGCCAGCAATTTTTTAGTCGTCTGCAAATCGTGGCAAGATAGTTCGTTTGATTAGTACTGTTTCTACAATTGGAGTGCTGGCTTATGAAATAAAAACTGGAGCCTGGAATGTAGATTCATTTTGTAATTTCATTACTACAATGTTAATAGTCCCAACTCGACTAAAAATCCAAATGTTTATGTGTAATTGGCTGTACATTGAATTATGGAATGTCTTGCGGGACCATATTATAAACAACATAAATTTACTATACATCTTTGTTAATAATAATATTAGATTTCACTTTTCAAGAATTAAGTTGCTTTTTCTATAAATACTCACAATATTAAATATGCCAGCCTTTTGCTCAGCCATCAGTTGTAAAAACAAGCGTGGAAAGAATGTTAGAAATAATATATCTTATTTTTGATTTTCAAATGATAGAAATAGGTAAGTAATTATTAGTCAAATCAAGTTTATAACATAATTAGTATATCAAGAATTTAAAGAAGCTTTTAAAACATTGTTTTACTTTAAATTTTATGCAACAAAAAATATTTATACATAATATGATGTAAATAATTCCACTAAATTAATTAGGTTTAACCTATTATTGAGATGCAAGCTTTGGGTTCGTAATTGTCGTCGTCAAGATCTCGATACAAAATCATGTGAAAAACTTGATCTTAAATATACTATTTGCAGTGAAAATTTTGATTCTTTTCAATACTATCTTGCCAATAATGTTAGTAAAAGAGCACTTGTAACTGCTGTACCAACAATTTTTAACTTTCCAATCAACCTTCTATCTTAAATTTAGAGAGAAACAGCCTACAAACAGGCTTCATTTACAAGATAAAATACAAAAAAAAAGGAAATCAACAATAAAGTCGAATTAAATTAAATAGTGTTGAGAATAGCATTACAAATATTGTAACTGTCAAAACTACTTTTAAAAATAAATATTTATCATCTCAAGTTAAGATTTGTCGACAAGAGCTCTCAAATGTTTAGGATTTTCATTATTAAAACAACAAATTTCACATCTAACAACTTAGCAAAAGTTTATATAATATTTGATCCACCACATCTTATAAAAAATGTTAGAAACAATTTAATAAAACATGACATTTTATCTGATGGTAAATTAATATCGTGGAAGCATCTGAAAGAACTTTATAATTTAGACAAGGTTAATGCTGTGCGGCTTGTGCCAAAGTTGACAGATCGTCATTTAGATCCAGGATCAAAACAACACAAATTTTTAGTAGTCAAGTTGCTACTGCTTTGACTGAATACGCTTCTGCAAAACTATTGCCTAAAAATGTTTTGTCAACAGCTTTTTTTTAAAAACATGGATTTATTTGACATCTTGAACTCTCGTAAACTAAAAGCAGATAAATCAACACGCTCTGCTTTAACTCTAAGTAGTAGTTTTATATTTGACATCTTGAACTCTCGTAAACTAAAAGCAGATAAATCAACACGCTCTGCTTTAACTCTAAGTAGTAGTTTTATTCAAAGACTTAAAGATTTAAGAGTTTGGATTGACAAAGGGAGAGGGTTGACATTTTTCTGGTGCTCCCAGCCAAAAAGTGTATCCAGGCATTGTAGTTTAGATGTCACTATTTCTAAAATTCTTTGTCTTGCAAACAAGTTGCTTCATGAGGATTTTTTTTATGTTTGCACTGTTCAATTTAATCAGGACTGTTTAGAAAATTTTTTTGCATTACTACGAAGCAAAGGAGGCTGGAATTCCAGCCCAACAGCAATGCAGTTTAAATCAGCATATGAAAATGTCTTCGTACTCCTTCCAATAAAACAATTTAATTCTAACAGTAATTGTCTCCTTGAATCAGATTTCTCAGCTGCAGTTACCATTGCTCAATCACCGACATGGTATTTGAGAATCAAATTTCTGCAAATGATTAATTGATCTTCAAACATCTAACTGCATTATTTATAAAGAAACAAAAACCTTACGCATTACTAAATGTTTCAACTGATTCAGTTTCACAGCCAATTAAATAGGTTTTGAAATTAATTGGAGATGATTTGATAAAGAAAGTTCAAGTCTGTCAAAAATGTGTACAAGTTCTTTCAAGTGTGACACCCTGTGAAAGTAACTTATTTAGTTCTGATTCTTTTTTACAAAACCTACTTCCTGAAATGGAAACTGTTTTTATAACGCAAATAAAACTTATATTAACTAAAAAAATATTATACAACAAATTATTAAAGTAATAAAAAACGATTGTAATTTTACATTTCTTTATGATGAACATATTGATCATGCTTTTCATTTAGAAGAAAGTTTAATAAGACACTATGTTTATATGAGAATATCTTATGAGAATACTTCATTATATAAGGCTTTTTATATGAGAATATCTTATATAAGAATACCTTATTATATAAGGTTTTATAATCTAGATCTCCCACCACGAGGCAAGACATGTAAAAACAAGTTAGCTTGCATTATCAATGCTTGATTTTATTTTAATGATAATTCTTGAAACAAGATATTTATTATTGTTATTTTTTCTCTCAGTATTATTAACTATATATTTGGCATCTAATTAAGGGGTATATATTTAAACTAATATGGGATGTATATTTAAACTTATATGAAACGAATACAGTGATAACATGATTAAAATGACTTATGCAAAACATGTTATATTTACATCAAATTTACAACTCTGTCAACATATTTATGTTAGATGATATATAAATGTTATATAAGCAATATTATGAAATAGTTTTAAAATTATTTTAATTTATAAAAGAAAATTTTTTTCATGGGAAGCCCTCTGGTAAGAATAATGCAAAGGTATAAATATTTCCCTAAGAGTTGCGTTGTTTATAATTACTTGATCCCGCAAGACATTCTACAATGCTTTGTGGCTAAAGTTACATATATCTATCGGGAGTTTGCAGGCATTGGTAGTAATGAAATTACACAAAAATTGTAGGCACTAGCGATTATGTATGCAGATGTGGAAGCGCCGGTGCTTGTTATGGACAATTGTAAATTTCACTGGAGTCTTTCTGTTAGGCAAACACTCTCATCGCATAGCTGTTAAGTATCTGCTAGCATACACGTCACAACTTAATTCAATAGGAATTTTTTTTTTTTCTTTAAACCATACTTACAAACAGGGAAAAAAGCCTCGAAATACGGATGGGGTAATCAGAAAACATAAAAATATTATAGATTCTAAAGAGTTTTATTTAATTCCATTTTACAACCATATTTGTAGTTACATAAATCCAGCGTTGGGTCGGCAAGCATTTTTTAAATAAATAGCAGTGGCAACAACATAAATTATATTTTGAATATATCTATAAAAAAACATAAAAGTCTATTTAATGTTTATATAAAACTATATTAGATATTTATATTTAAATACTAATTTTTATTGTAGATGAAAGCAAAGGGTTTACAACGCTAAACAATATTTTAACAAATTTATTTTAAAAGTTACTCGCATTTTATTTTTAAAAAAAACGTCTTTTCAGTGCGACAAAATTGTAAGACAATTTTACAAAAAACGTTTTATTTGCAAACCGCAGTTGTGAGCAACTAAGAATATTTATTTGATGTAAACACCATAGACGATTTTACTGTAAACTTTTGTGAACTATCAAAAATTTTGTTCAGGTTTTTTTAAAAAAACATGAATTTTTTTAAAAAAACCTCGTTTTGTGACCGTGATAAGCGAAGGTTGTTAAGACAAGCTTCAAGTTCTTCATTAAGTGCACGTCAAATTGCTGCAGAAGCAGGTGTGATTGCTAATTTAAGTACAGTTCAGCGATTTATTCATAATGCTTTTCACTTTTCGCGCAAAACACTTGAGCGAAAACCACCTTTGACGACAACAAATCACATAAACGATCGAATAACTTTTGCAAGGGATTACCTAATTTGAATAGAAAAGTGGCAATGAGTAGTGTTTTCTGACGAAAAACAGTTTTGCCTCGATGGGCCGGATAGATGGAGTTATTATTTTCACAATTTGCGTAAAAAACCAGTAACACAGCAACGGCATCAAATGGGTGGTGATGGTGTTATTATTTAGTGTGCAAAAATGTCTTATAATTTTGTTGCACTAAAAAAACAAGTTTTTTTTAAATAAAATGCGTTACGTTTAACATAAATGTTTGTAAACGTTGTTTAGTCGAGTAATCTTTCTTCTTTTTTTTTAAATTTAATATACAACGGAAAAATCTCTAAAGCTGGGAAAGCAACCAATCCCTGCTAGGGTAGATTCAGTATAGAGAATTACCAAACAAAAATAAAAAAGAAATAAAATTATTGGCACATGAAGTTAATAACATTCCCAAAAGAAAAATAGAAGTACTAATCATACAGTTTTTAATAGAAGTGAGCCAAAAAATCTGTCAAGCTTTTTTTTGAAAGTGTTAATGTTGACAATATCTGGTACATTTCTATCAAAAGTAATGATATCTGGTGGTAACGCATTCCAATCAACTGCCACACGGTTACATAAAAAAGTTTTGGGTTGAACAAAGTTGTTACTTGAATATTTATTCATGTATTTGTGTTGAATTTCATTAAATAATGGTTTGAAGATATTTGGTATTGTATTATTACTAGTTTTATACATAAAAAATAGAAGATAATATATATTTGTTTAGTACAAATTTTATGTTTCTAGATTGTTGAACAATGGTCTTGAATGTGAGAGGCAGTGTGCATTTGAAAATAATCTAATTGCATGTTTTTGTTCGCTAAATAGCTTTTTTGTCTTTGTTTTATTGGTGCTGCACCAAGCAATGTTTGCATAATTAAGATAGGAATGAATAAATGATTAATATATGTATTTCAAACATGATTGATCTAAATATTATTTTGCTTTATAGAGTAATCCGATATTTTTAGAAATTTTATTTTCAATCATGTTTATGTGGTCTTTCAAATTTATGTTTTCATCTAGAATTACACTTAGAAATTTCATTGAACATTCTCTTTTTACGGTATATTCTTCAATATTAAGTTCTGGAAGTGCAAGAGGAATTTTATATTTTTTATGGAGGTGATAAAAAATAGTATACTTACCAGGTATACCGGTATGAAATGAGCGTTTTTTGTGAAAATAAAACACTAATTATTAATGGGAAAGTATAAAACATTTTATTCAAAGTATTGGCCATTGTTTTCTACACATTTTGACCACCTTTCTGGCAATTTGTGGATACCGTGCCAATAAAATTGTTCGTTTTTTAAAGCAAACCAACCAGACACCCAATTTTCGACCTCCTCGTAGGAATCAAAGTGCTGCTCAGCCAATGCGTGTCCCATCGAAGAAAACAAATGGTAGTCGGAAGGAGCCAAGTCTGGTGAATACGGCGGGTGGGGTAGCAGCTCCCAGCCAAGTGTTTTGATTGTATCCTGAACCGGTTTTGCTTTGTGTGCAGGTGCATTGTCATGGAGCAAAATTACCTTGCCGTGTCTTCTGGCCCATTCTGGTCGTTTCTCGATCAATGCATGGTTTAAATTGATCATTTGTTGTCGGTAGCGATCAGTATTGACGGTTTCACCAGGTTTTAGGAGCTCGTGGAACACCACACCTTTCTGGTCCCACCAAACACAGAGCATTGTCTTCTTGCCGAACCGATCTGGTTTTGCAGTCGATGTTGATGGTTGTCCCGGATTAACCCATGATTTTTTCCGTTTAGGATTCTTAAAATAAATCCATTTTTCATCGCCAGTAACAATCCGATGCAAAACCGATTTTCTTTCGTGTCTTCGAAGCAAAATTTCACAAGTGTTTTTTCGGTTTTCCATCTGTCTTTCATTCAGTTCATGTGGCACCCATTTTCCACACTTTTGGATCTTTCCCATAGCTTCTAAACGGTCAGAAATTGTTTGTTGTGCAACATTTAACATTTCTGCCATTTGTTTTTGACTCAAAGTGTCATCTCCATCCAATATCGTTTGCAATTCGGCGTCTTCAAACTTTTTTGGTGGTCTTCCACGTTCTTCATTTCTCACATCAAAATCATTATTTCTGAACCGTTGAAACCATCTTTTGCATGTTGCTTCTGAAGGAGCATGATCACCATATGCCTCGACAAGCATTCGATGCGACTCTGCAGCACTTTTCTTCAAATGAAAACAAAAAATTAATGCTTTCCGCAAATCATCACTTTCCAGTACAAAATTCGACATTTTTAACACGATGAAAAAATATGATGTTGTCTGTTCAATGACTTGATGTATACTAAATATGTTTCACAGATGTCATAGCAAACAAACAAAAACAAATAAAGGCTCGTTCACAACAATTGTTCCCTATCGAGACATTTGTATCTTGACGCTCACTTCATACCGGTATACCTGGTAGTTTTAGTTAAATTAATTAAAAGTTTATTCATATTTAACCATTCGGTTAGTTTTAGAAGTTCAATGTTGACCGTTTTAAATAATGTTGTTATACCACTATGAGAATAAAATAAATTTGTGCCATCAGCAAATAAGATAGAATCGAGAATATTAGAGACTTTGCTTAAATCATTAATACAGATTAAAAATAAATTTGGTCCTAATATAGATCCTTGAGGAAGGCCGCAAGTAATTGTCATATTGTAAGTTTTTTTATTGTTAGTTTTTTCATTTTATATTACACAAATGCTAAACCTTGTAAATAAAATGCTTTTATTTACAAGGTTTTTACTTAAGATTAGTACATGAACTATTTGTAAGCTTCCGTGAATGTGACAACTATTTCAGAATATATATATATATATATGAATTGAATTGAACTGAAAGAAATGGTTACCACAAAATTTCCACAGCATAGGCATGGAGATTACATTTTTTGAGGCATATCGAAGTTTAAACAAGTATAGTGCAATATTATTTTTTGAGGTAATCAATAAATATATCATGTTGTCGCTAAATCTCCACTATATGAAAAAGTTTTATATAAGTTTATGATTCTATATATAGTTTTATAGTATAAAAGTATAGTATAAGTAGTATAGTAAAGAGGTCTTTAATACTTTTATAAGGTCTTTTATACTTTTATAACTATATCTAACTTATGAAACTCAAGTCCTATATAGGTCTCATTATTTATATAAGGTTAAAAAGTTATAACGTAATTTTAATTTGTATAAGTTTTCAAATTTATAAATATTAAAATTACGTTAACTAATTCAAAGAAACTATTAAACAAGATTTATTTTGCAACTATAAACTATTTTTTACAACTTTAAACAAAAAATTGAGCTTTACCCGGTGGGAATCGGATAGGGAATAGCTAGCTATAATCGTAACGATAAAGACAGCAATTTGGCCACGAGGGTCGCTAGCTTTTTTAAGTTACCGAAAAGCTATCGATATTTATAAAGATAAGAACAGAAATTTGGCTAAGAGGACAGCCAGCTTAATAAGCTAAAGACCCACTGGCTATCGTAGCTAGCGTCATATATAATAAAATCGCTATCAAAAAAATTTTGGTATGTAACTATCAACCAGCTATAGATTTGTAGATATTTTGTAGCTAGCTACAAAGCTACGATATGTAGCTAGTAGCTAGCTACATATCGTAGCTATTATATTAGACATATTGCTACAAAATCGCAATGTTTAAAGTTCAATTATCCTCATAATTATAATAGATTCAACACTAAAAATTGAATTTTTAAAAATGTTAAAGACATTAGGAAATAATAAAATAGAGAATCGCTATAAAGCTAGCTAGACGCTAGCTCATTTCCCACCGGATATAACGTAAACGTTTGCGTTCAAAAATTATTATATTTTATTATTATTACATATAATTGTCTATATGCTTGTCATATAATTGCTTATTATATATAATTGTCATTATGTATTATATATAATTGTCTTTATATATTATTATATATAATTGTAATTTTATTACATATTAAATATTTACATACATAATTAAATATTATTATATATAATTGTAATAATATAATTATATATTATTATATATTATATATAATATATAAATATATATATAATAAATAATATATTATTATATATAATTGTCTTAATATATGTAATTATATACAATATATAATTGTCATATAATTGCTGTCATATGCTTGTCATATAATTGCGTGATATATGTCATTATTGTGATGCGTTTATAACTTTTAAATAACTGATTATACATCCAGAACCTCTTTAATACATTTTCACTTTTTAGAAATATTAGACAATAAAATTTCTCGTGGCAAAAACAAAACTATTTTTCAATATACCTGGTTGTAAAGCAGTATATTAGTAGTAGCCGTGAACATTGTTATTTAGTTTCTTTACTAATCATTTTAGGTAAACCTTTTACTTGCGACATTTTGTTTTTAAAAACTTTTTTTAATAAAGAATCCTTCCAGAAATAAATAAAAGGGTTCACTAAAGCAGCTAACTTTGCAAACAGAGCTGCTAATTCAATAAGCATTTTTGGTATTTCTGTTGACGTAAAGGCTGATAAGCATCCTATTGTTGCATAAGGTGTCCAACAGATTATAAACGATAGTACCATTAGTAAAAATGAGGAAAACGCTTTTTTTTCCTTTTCTTTGTATCTTTTTGTTTCCACATTTTCTTTTCCGTAAGTTACAAAAAAGTATTCGTACTTTGTGCTTATTAGATCAGCTGTAAACAAACACGAAGTTAAAATTATTATAACAGGAATAAAAAAGCCGAAAGCCATCAATAAGATCAAATAGGCTTTATCAACTTTAGTTTTAGGTGAAAAATTAATTGCACATCGAGTATGTGTATCTTCTAGTGTGTAAGAAGAAAATCCTAGAAAAGGCAAAACAGCCCAAGTAAATCCATAAATCCACGAAAATGTTGCAATTTTTACGAAGAGTTTTTTGTAATCAACTTGGTTAGTATTGCAATGTGTACTTAGTAACAAAAATCTTGAAAAGGCAATTGCAGTAAGCGTTGCAATTGTTGTATATGAAGGAAATGCTATAAAAAAAGCAGATGACTTACACAACACTGTAGCTGTTTTTAAATTCGATTTCAGAATAAATGATGGTATATATCCAGCAACACTTTGCAATAAATCACTTAAAGATAGATTGATACACAAAATAACGTAATTGTTTTTTGCACGTTTTTTATAAAGTATATAAATAGAAATGACGTTTGTAATTATAGCTAAGGAAGTTATAGTCAATAAAGTAATTTTCACTGCATCCATTTCAAAAAAAAAGTAATTTTTACTGCACCCATTTCAAAAATAAAGTAATTTTCATTGGATCCATTTCAAAAATAAATAAACCAAGTTTCAAAATTTTACAACGCAAAGCGTATGCTCAGGTATTTTTGTTTTAATCATTATTTTACGTTGTTTATTTTTATAATTTTTCTTTATTGTTTAAGTTTAGCATAAAGCCTAACGCTAATCATTATATCGATATCTTGTTAACTATTTACCGTCTTTTATACTTCTTTTTTTGTCGTTGAAGAATAATAAAACACGCAAGGTTTGTTAAGAATCTCATTTAAAAAAATTTCATAAAGGTTTTTTTGATAATTTAATTACCCTCTGGGTCTCGACTTTTATCTTAACCCCTTTTAGTTCCCAACCCTAATTTTACTCAAATATTAGGTAGTTTCAAAATGTTGTGATATTACGCAAATTGTTTGATGCAGTAATATTACTTCATATTTCGTTACTGTTTATCAGTAGTTATATTTCTTATATTTCTTAAAGTTTAATATTGGATAACATTTAAGTATTTGTTTTTTATAGTTCAGTTTTACACGTGTTTACTTTTATTTTCAATATGGCAGAGAAGTAAGTTATAAAATGCACAAACCATCATACTTATCAATATATTTTAATCAAATCTTGCTCAAAAATGTACGTGTGCGTGCAAACACAAGCTACGAAAAGATTCAAGATAGATTGGGAAACTTTGTACACTCTGCCAATTTTTGCTAGTTTCGTACCATAATATGTATGATTATACACTTTTATTCATGTATATAACATAATAATTAATGATATTTTTTTGTTATATTATTTAGTATTTATATTTAGTTGTTATATTATTTAGTATTTGTTTGTTAGTTGGTATATATATATATATATATATATATATATATATATATATATATATATATATATATATATATATATATATATATATATATATATATATATATATATATATATATGTATATATATATATATATATATATATATATATGGGCGATTCTGTGAGAGTGGCGGTCGTAACGGAAATGACTTAAAATTTTCAAGAAATGTGAAATAGTATCATATAATTTTGCATGTAAATGTGACAGTATTAAAGTCTTGGACTTTTTTCGAAAACTAACTCTACATAGCGTGGCAGTCGTAACGTTTACTTTTTACCACTTCTGAACAAAACAACTTTGTCAGACTTTATCCAACGAACGGCATAATAATAAAAGATATCATTTAGTATGCGTATGCATATATTGGTATTGTTATAGGCTAAGTTTTATAGTTTTTACTTAAGGTTATACAAGCATTCTTATGTTTTTTTTCATATATATATATATATATATATATATATATATATATATATATATATATATATATAATTTAATAAAAAAAGGGGACTTTTAAAAATGACGGGACTTTTAGAGATCAATTTTTTTCAAAATTTATGAAAAATTTTAACCCTTTTACAGTTAAACTGTAAAAGGGTTAAAATTTTATCTTTATAAAAATATTACTCTCACTTAAAATTTGTGAAAATTTTCTAATTTTCACAAATGGTTTCTAAAACTAATTATAAAAAAAAAGCAAATGCATAGAAATTCTGCTATTGTTTTGAGATAAATTCCAAGCCGGCGTAACAGGTTTGTTAGAATTCTTTTTTTTTTCAATATTTTGGTTTCATTTGCAGTTATTTTTATTTTTTATAACAGGTTGTACAATGTAGAAATTAGGGTTCTATGAAAAGATTAGATTGGCATTTTGCCAATATATTCTCCATATCTTCTTTGAGTCCCTGTTTGTTTATAATTTATTTATATTCTTTACTATATTTTATTTTTTGTGAAAGGGTATTGTAGTTTATATAAACAGCAAAATTAAAAAAAAAAAAAAAAAAAAGTTAGAAAAACGTGAAGGAATGTGAAAAATATAATATTGGAAGGATTATAATATTATAGAGAATACAATTATAGAGAAATAAAATAAAAAAATAAATAGAAAAATTGAATATATATATATATATATATATATATATATGTATATATATATATATATATATATACATATATATATATATATATATATATATATATATATGTATATATATATATATATATATATATATATATATATATATATATATATATATATATATATATATATATATATATATATATATATATATATATATATATATTTGTAAACGTTCTAATTACTATGTCCTATTTTATAATAATATATAAATTTTTTAATAGAAAAAGGAAACGCGTGTATGGATGTGGCGAAAATGGAAGTTATATCTAAAAATAGTTTTGCAATATTTTGCAGCTTATTACATGTATTTAAAAAAAACATAAATTATTCGTTTTGAAGTTTAATCTCGAGTGAAGAAAACAATACAAACGAGTAAACAACGTTTTAAGTTTTTACTCTACAATAACCGATTTGAAAAAAAATGACAATCGCATTTTCGCGAAGAAAAATAATAGTATAAAAAACAAAACTTCCTAAGCTTATTTATTCATTTACTTGAAATCATTATCAAGATAAAACTGATTAAATATAAAGATTCAAATTATTTTTTCTTCTTGTTTACTGATTTAAAGCTAAGTACAAAAATCGCGAACTTTTTATTTATTTTTGTTATTTCCTTTTACGATAAAAATTTTCAAAAGTATATTTCGGTCTTCTATTACAAACTCTTCGAAATAAATTTTTTTTATTTTTTTTTAATTTCTTTTTTTAATCGTACGCTTAAAATGAATATTTTTTGATTTTAATTTTGATTATCAAGGGTACAAATATAGGAAATATATAAACTATGCATCTAAATAAATTATGTTTAAGTTATATCTGTTCAACAATTTAGGGGGAAAAAATAGGAATAGGGCGCGATGGGTGTGTGTAACCCCCCCCCCCATTATTGATCTTTTCGTTCATTTAGTCGGCAAGTTTGACCTTTTTTGACTAGTTAGTCGGCAAATGTAAACCCTTTCGACAAGTTAGTCGATAAATTTAGACACTCAGTCGGCAAATATCCTTATGGCAGTAGGGGTAGTCGGCAAATTTTAAAAAACGAGGACCTGAGGACAGCTACTCACGCCGGCCCTGTTTGCATATATTATATTTCGGAAAAATAGATTTTTAAAATTAGTATCATGTTTAGGAGAGCGATGTTAATTTATACAGTTTTACACAGAACTATTCCGGTGAAAAAAAAACATTAAACAGACTGCTTCTTTGAGTTAATTAATTAGTACTGAAAGTACTAATTAATTAGTACTGAAAGTACTAATTAATTAACTTAAAGAAGCTCAGACATTATTATATTTAAAATCGTTTTGTATTTTGTAAAATTTTGCACCCCCTCCCATCCTCTCTAAAAAAACTTTAAAAAAATTTTTTTAGGGATGGGGGGGGACAAAATTGTTGTGTAAAATTGGGGGGGGGGGTCAATAAAGTGTTACGGATGCGTTACAAGGGGGAAGAGGGAGGGAAATTTTTCAAAAAATATCAAAAACTGCGTGACGTAATTTATGGATGACCCCTAAATGTATAGGAATAAGACCGTAATATATTGAAAACGGGTTTTTTCCGTAACAAAACAACGGATAAAGTCTGATAAATACTACGCAGTTTTTTTACAGTGTACATAAACTTGAAGAACTTCATTTTTTTTCGGTGATCATATGAACAGCTTTACAGATTTCGCTTATCAATGGAGCCAAATTGTTTGCAAGTTTATTTGAATTTGGTGAGCTCTGAAAAATCCTTAATCCGTCTATATCTAATCCGCCTTCTCTTTATCGTGCTCGTCATTTTCTCTCCCCTGAATACATTCTCTACCTCTACAAATCCTTGTCTAGAATACTGTTGTCATATTTTTATTTTTTTTTATTTTTTTATTTTTTTGTTCTTTATTCTTTACAAATTCGTAATATATAATATAATCGTTTAAAGAGTATAGTAAAATTAAAAAAAAAAAAAAAATACTTTATACAAAAAATGAATAAAATAAACTGTAAAGTATTAAAAATTACTTTAAAGAACGTGGGAAACTTGCAGAAGACCGATGGTCTTGTCATCAAGAAATCGCTAAGCGTTTAAAATACTTCAATTTAAAATAAGTTTATATTTAAAAAATAATGTTATGACTTTCTGCAGAATAAAAGTAAAAACAAAGAAGGTAGACAAAAATTTTTTAATTTTTTTAATTTTATTTCAATACACATAAATATAAGTAGGTACACGATTTGCTAAATAGGTAATACAGTTCACGTGTTGATAAAAAAGCCTGTTATTTATTATTTTTGTTGTTGTTGTTGTTGTTGTTGTTGTTGTTGTTGTTGTTGTTGTTGTTATTGTTGTCATATTTGGGCTGGTTCTTCTAATGCTCTTTCTCTTCTCGACAAGGTCCAAAATTGCATTGTAAACGTAATGGGATCCGGCCTATCTACTAAGCTTGAGTCTCTTTCCAATTGTCGTAAAGTTGCATATCTTTCTCTTTTCTACAATTACAATCACCCAAATTCTAAAAGCTGTTTCTAGAATGAACATTAACGTTGAAACAACAACTATTTTCAGAAGTCCACTCAAGAAGAAAGTCCATAAATGTGTCTACAAGTCGAGCAACCACAGGTCTTAATTTCTCTTGCACATTTTTTACATTTCGCTACAGCTACAGACTTTTCGAACAAAAAGTAACAGGTAACTAAATGTTAAAAAAAAACTTTTTTATCTAAAAAAGGCTTTTTTTATTTCAATAATCTAAGTTCTCTTCGGTGATATTTTCTTGCTTAGATATTTTAGCTAAATATTAAAAGAGTTTAATATTTTTAAAATATAAATGTAACTTATTTAATACTTTGGTAACTAAATATTAAAAAAAGGTTTTCTTCATCTAAGAAAATCTTTTTTTTATCCATTTTTATCATCTAAGTTTTCTTGGGTGATATTTTCGCGCTTTAATATTTTCGCGCTTATAACTC